GCTTGGAAAAGCTGGACCCTTCAGAAAGACGCACACGAGTCGTGCTTTTGAGATACCCAATCGATTTTCCCCCTAATCCAGTACTAGAACACAAGCAAATCCTGAATGCGGAACAATGCCGCACAAAAGTAGACAAGGCAGCGACACGTCAGGTTCTGGTGACCATCATGGGACATGTGTCAGAAACATTCAGTCTTGGAAATTAAGGAACATACCGACAGAGACCATACGTCCCAGAACCCCTGCGCTGCCCCAGGTGTCAGAAATATGGCCACCATCAATCATGCTGCACCGGACAGGAGAGATGCGGAGTGTGCAGCCTGAGGCATCCAACCAAAGACTATATAGCCAAGCACAAGGCAAACCAGACCACAACAGCCAAAAGTCCAAATTGTGGAGGCAAACATCATGCCTGGAGCACAATCTGTTCTGCACGGAGAGAAAAAGTGCAGACAGCTCAGGCCAGGATAAACACACAGACCATCACTATATACATCAACTCCAACGTCTGGAACACACGTGCACAGCCACAACACGCCCACTCTCACCGAGCAAAATTTCCCAAATCAGAAAATACACAAAAATGCTGCAGAAATACAGCAAAATCAAAAAGCAATCAGTATCGGAATCAACACAACAAATATACAGTTTTACCGAGGTCCAGCTGAAATACATCGTGAAGATCATGGCAGAGACCATTATCAATTGTCTACAGATGACGCAGAACGCCTCACAACAACAGACTCAAGAAATAACTTGTGTAACAATGGACAAGATCGTGCAGCAGACCACAGTTACACAAGAAATAGACAGTCTGAGACAAGACGGAGCCCAAGAGGACAAACAAAGCAACATGGACATACAGACTACCAACAACAGTCGGGTAGTCAAGCCACAAGAACATCAACATTCACAAAAGCAACTGCAAGAAGCAGTGGTAACTCAAGATTAACAGAATCTTACAACACAAGAGACAGACACCAACAGCCAATGCAGTCTGATATGCAACAACACCGACAAAGAAGTATTGAACAACAGAGATGCATAGGTTCCAACAACACAAGAGGCAGGCATGAACAATCTATGCAGCCCAATATGCAGCAACATCAACAACGAAATACTGGATGGGAGAGATGCACAGATTTCGACAACACAAGAAACGGCCACGAGCAATCAATGCAGTCCGATATGCAGCAATACCAACAGCAAAGCGATGGACCACAGTTATGCACAGATTCCAACAATGCCGGGGATGACCATGAGCATTCAGTGCAGTCCGATTTGCAGTGACACGACTTGCGAGGTGGAGAATATAGAGGTCGATTCCGAAGAGGAGTTCTACTAGAACAGGCAACATCAACCGAAACCGTCGTCTGGCCAAGCCCCTTGGGAATCGCTGCCAGCAGACTTTAAGATTATAGTTCTTGAGGGGGAAAAAACAGACTAATCCTCATCTGCTACGTAATATTGCACAGATGCAAATAGAAGAAAACTTGGCATCTGACAGCTTCACATACTTCACAGATGGATCAGTAGACCAGCAAGGACAAGAAACTGGAGCTGCAGTTAAAGAACCAATTGCCGCGTAACATTGTGGAGGTGGGGTCCCTCGATTGTTTCAAGCATGGATTGGAGTGGGATTGGGTGGTTATAAATAGGAGCTGCCTCGTATGGGCCAATAGGCCTTCTGCAGTTGCCTTTGTTCTTATGTTCAAATCCTAGGAATAATCAAGCATACCTTTATCTTCAAGGAAAAGAAAGTAGTCGTTCAATTGTACAATTCTCTGGTACACCCCAACCTGGATTATTGCATCCAGGCATGGAGATCATCTTCAGAAGCGTAGAGGAAGACGAGAACACTTCTTAACAGGAGGAGGATGGTAGGAAAAGAAGTGGATACCTATTATGCATGGGTTTGCGGTAGACAGAGAAAGAGAACCCCGGACAGAGCTGTGAAACATGAATGTCAAGAAAAGGAAGGAGGGAATTAGACTACCATTCAACTTTGAAATGGATAGGAGCCAGATTGTTAAGAGGAGAGGAAAGGCTGGAAAAGGACTAAGGTCATGAGGCCATAAAGCAAAAATGTCAACATTACGAAGCCAGAGGGAAGAGTATCAAGAGTGGAAAGAATGGTTTCAAAGTATTCCATATAGAGGGACAAGAACAGGGAAAGGGGAAAACCCAGAGACACAAAGTTTGAAAAAAATATTTTCTGTTCAAAGAGGAGCTGGAGTCGACACAGTCTGATGGGTTTGAGGAAAACGTCAGTGGGAGATGAAGAAGGTTGCCTTATGACTAAGGAAAGAGAAAGTCATCAAGGGCAACATTAATAAGTGCCAAGATAAGGAGTCAAGAGTTTTAGCAAGTCGGGAGGCAAGAGGATAGCCGACAGAGCCCCTTGAAAAAATGATAGGACGAAGAGACCACCACCCGGGCGTACTCACCTGACACAGGAGATGGGCAACAAATGGCTGAACCAAGTTTACATTACCAGCGTCCAAATCCAGTGGTATTTGAGGACATTACATTTTTTAGGCAACTTTTTTTCATTTAGGTTGTAATAGTGACTAGACAGCATTATGAAAAATACCATATATTCTTATTTTCATTGTAATGTGCTTCTTGGTTACAATGTATAGGTAAATGCCAGTCTAGGTTCAGCAATATACTTAAATATTCAATATTTTTTTGCAGGCACACTATTTTAGATTCATTATTTTTAATTATACTATACAGGTACACAATTTTGGAAATAATAGCTTGTTAAAAAGCATAATTTTTGCTTTAAATGTATCTGATTGCATAGCAATTAAACACTATAAACCATATAAAAATTATTAACACTATTGCTCTCAGTCAAAAATTTTTCTCTAGAGTGAGTCCTAGCGGTCGACTCTTACTTGCATCCATCATTTTAAAATATTTGTTAAAAATTTAAATTGCATCCAATCAATCTGGGAGTAGTTTCAAAATGAGCGCCTTTAGATTGCGCACAATTTAATACCAATGATGATTTAGCGTGACAATTGAGGTCAGAACACTGGAAATATTATAAATACTTGTGGTCCAAAATTTAAAATATTTACGTAAGAACAAAGGTAACTGCAGAAGGCCTATTGGCCCATGTGAGGCAGCTCCTATTTATAACCACTCAATCCCTCTCATAGATGACCAACCCAAGCTTGAAACAATCAAGGGACCCCACCCCCACCACGTTACGCGGTAATTGGTTCCACAAAACAACCGTTACCAAACCAGTATTTACCCAAGTCTTTCCTAAATCTAAACTCATCCAATGTATACCCATTGTTTCGTGTTCTGTCTTGTGTTGATACTTTTAATACCTTATTAATATCCCCTTTGTTATGTCCATTCATCCACTTGTAAACCTATCATGTCACCTCTAACCCTTCGCCTTTCCAGTGAATGCAATTTAAGCTTTAATTAATCTTTCTTCATATGAAAGATTTCTAATGTGGGGAATTAACTTTCGTCATCCTACGCTGGACACGTTCAAGTGAATTTATATCCATTCTATAGTACGGCGACCAAAACTGAACTGCATAATCTAAATGGGGCCCAACCAGAGCAAGATATAACTGAAGAACACCACCAGGCGTCTTGTTACTAATGCCGATTAATAAATCCCAGTGTCCTATTTGCCTTATTTTGAATATTCATCCATTGAACCTTTGGTTTTAAATTCTTACTAATCATAACGCCCAGATCCCTTTCACAATCTCAACACCATCCAGCTCGTATCTTGTAACTTTATCATTACCTAGCCTCAGAACTTTACATTTATCAGCATTAAACTGCATCTGCCAATCTTTTGACCACTTCAAAACCCTATTTAGATCAACTTTAAGTGATAGCGAGTCTTCTTCCGAGTTGATTTTCCTACCAATTTTTGTATCATCGGCAAATTTGCAAATGTTGTTACTCAAACCTGAATCTAAATCATTTATATATATTATAAACAGAGGTCCCAATACAGAGCCTTGAGGCACTCCACTTACAATTTCCCACTCCGACTTAACTATTTATACTAACCGTTTCCTTTGGTATAGCCATGCCCTAATCCATCTTAATATAGCACACCCAATACCATGAGGCGCTATCCTTTTAAATCGGTCTTTCATATTAATATTCATTAAAATTCCATTTATTGTTCTATTATGGGACTAGTTTTAAAATACACGCCTTTATATTGCAAACAATTTGATACCAAAATGAAAGACATAACATGAAAATTGACGTTATTAAACTGAACGAGTACACACATTAGATTGCAGGTGTGCCAATTGGTGCTCGTCTCAAGGGTAACAGTTAGCCGACTTTAGGCTTTGCTGTGGGAGTCACGCCGGACTTTTGGATCTTTTATGCATACATCTCTGTAGGGAATTCAATTCCGAACACCGATACCAAAACGAACGAAGCAGCAAGAGAATAAAGACGAGAAAACAGAAACGAGTACACACATTTCGGTGTCACCACACACTTGCCCACACCGATGGGAGCACGACAGCGAACTCTGCGGTGCTCGTTAGCGTTAAATACTCTGGGACCGCATACAATGTAACCCTCCACAAGGAAAATGCAGCAAGTATAAGTAAACACTCCTTTGATGGGGCAAACTGACAATGTGTGTGTGTGTGTGTGTATGTGATATATATATATATAAAAAGGCAGTTTTTCAAAATTTACACACTAACCAGCCAAGGATAGCAGCAGACGTGGAACAAGTTTAAATATGGGAAGGGCTAATAAGCATTTGAACCTTTAAGAGTGGGTCTGAATAACTACACCAGAGGTACCCAGAGTGGGCAAAGGTGAGCTGCTATTATATTACACTTGACATTAACAAAGTTAGGATGGGCCCCCTCATGTGTATGTTTAAATATAATAAGGCAGCAAAATCTAAGTTATCAGTTTTTCATTGGGCCAGAACCAAACATGATAATTATGTATTTAATCATAAGGATGCCAAAACACAATTGGATATTAAGCTTTATATAAAATGACAAGATTAAAGTTTCAATTGCAACAAACTTTTACATACCAAAACTGAATTCAAATGTCTAGGTATAAATGTTAAAGTATTTTAGAAGTGTGAATTTGGACATTTAATGAACAAAAGCTTCAATCGTCCTTGCAATAAGATGTGGCTACTATACAAAACTTTAAACTGTATGGAAAGAATAAACAAAAAGGGAAAATTAGCAAGATATGGATTTTTATGAATGGTTCTAATTATTTTATATATACCTCTAGGTCATAATTAACTGGCTATCATCAGTTTATAGACTTTAATAAATAGGTAAAATCCCAATATTTATTAACATTGCTGAAATTTATCAATCTTGCCGTGTCTTTTCTAGCAAGACTGACCAATTACACTCGCACCACTTACGCAAGGCTTCCTGCATCTTCATATCTGGAAAAGAGAATAGTTTTACATACTAACTGCATCAAATTCAACTAGTCGACAGTTAATCAGTGTTAAGCCAGTACAGTATAGCTAAACAAGTTACAGAATGTAAAAGTGCTCTTAAATGTACTTCAGGATGCCAATGAGCAGAAAAAACTTTAATGATGTCAAAGCTTTCAGATTTATCAAGGAATGAATTTATAGTCTTGGGGCATTCAGATTGGTAGGAAAATTTCAGATTCCAGAAAATAACAAAATCACCAAGAATCTGTGGCAGTCAAGATATAATAATATGAGAAGTACCATGATGCATGGCATATAACAGTTGGGTCTTCAACAATAGTATTAATTGGTGTCCAGATACTGCAAAACAGTCATTTCATCAACATGCATTGTAATCATTTATTACCCATAGAGGTCAACTCATATCCTATATACAGTATATGAACTGTACAGGCATGTGAAAGCAAAGCAGCAAAATTAAATACCCCCCCCCCCACTTCAAATTAAGATTATTTTAGCAAGGACCATGAAGTTATTATTCTAATGGTTTTATTAGATACCTTTTGCATTTCATTATCTTTCAGGAGAATTATTAAAAAAAAAAAAAAAAAAAAAAAAAAAAAACATTACATGTTTTTGTGCCCATTTCCAGATATTGGTACCTATACCATACAAATATTTACTCTCATTTGCGAGTTTTGCATGTGCAGCATATATTACTTTACTAATACATTACTTTGGTAATAGGTTTGGTTATGAATAACCCCAGACCTCTATTCTAATAGAGACTCTCCTCCCTTTCACCCTGTATTACCAAGGAATGGTTATCGATCTTTAAATATATTTCCATTGCATTTGTCGGCATTAAATTTCAGTATAGTACCCACTTAGTTGTAGTTTTTAGCAGCCATCATCTCTGCATAAAAGTGTTTAAGGGTAAGTGCGCTCACAAAAACCACTGGTGGGCCAGGAGGTAGTGAACAGCAATGGCCAAGTGACCAGACACTTGACTGTTCAACAAGAGCTTGAAATTTGAACAAGGAAAGTTATCCAACATGTTTCAACAGAATAAAATCCCTTTCCATGTAATTCCCAATTACTGCTGGTTGTACAGGGGGGGGGGGGCAAACTAAATGAAGTAATGGCCGATACTTTTCAATATACTGTACCTATCATTTGCTCCAAAGTACTCTGTTTCATGAAGCGTGCTTTAAGCATGGGCTCCACAAGCACAACTTTATTAAGTACTGTACTTTTATACATCAACATGCTAAGAATCAAGTAGTCTTGTATTCTTCACAATATTTTAAAATATGCAGACTACTGTTTATCCAAATGTATCCTGGGGAGGAAATTTCAACTAGAATATCAAGGAAACTCTTGGTAGCAGTGAATGTGTACTTGAGTGTTTTGTAGATTTATCCCATCAATGAAACTACAGAATTTAAATATGTTCCAAAATTGGCAATCCACAGCACAAGTGCCCGACTTAACCCTTTTGGCAAGAGCGCTGTGCCACCAAGGTGCACCTGGCATGCCACGGGAGCGAGGGGCAATACTGAACAGCGTATACTCTCATCTCAATTCTCGTCCTAGGTTTTTCATTTTGGTATCAATGGGTTCGCAATAGAATTCTCTACAGGATTAAATACACAAAGTCCAAAAGCCCGGCCTAATATCCATAGCAAACAAAGTGATAGCGCGCTACCCCCATGAGTGCTCATCAAGAGCAATAAAATGTGTGCTCTTTAACTTTGTTACCTCAATTCTTGCCCTAGGTCTTTCATTTTGGTATCAATATATTCACAATGAAATGACCTACATGAACATGTGCAGATAATGTCCAATACCGTGGCGTGCCCCTCCCGCAGCCAAGTGCAAAAGTGGGCCAAAATTTTACATTTTGACGCCATACTGCATCATTAACGAGCGAAAGTGTCAAGTACTCCCTTTTATTGCCAAAGGTCAGTTCAAAATGTTTTTGAAAAAAAAAAACAAAAAAAAAAAAACATGGTATGTCCCCTGATTAGTAGTCACATCAAAATAGGCTCTAGTTTCAATAAAATTTGCGCAATTTCGTCAACTTACCGCATCAATATCGGCTGCAACATCCTCCTCTTCCTCCGAGTAGTCATCAAACTCGATATCATCATCCATGCCATCTTCTACAAAGGTGGCATTCTCATTCACCTTAACTGTAAAGGAAAGTGTGTTATTCTCAACCCTTCAACATTAAGTTGTTATAACAAACTGCTGAACTAACTGTGCAAGAGGTGCTTTTCTTTTACTCAAAATCTAAACAATAATTTTAGAGTATTACACAAGGATAGTCGAAGGACATATCCAACAACTTATCCCAATATATAATATAAAACTATACTTCTCGAGAGATTATCTTGAAATGATATCGGGGCTTAGCATCCCCGCAGCCCGGGCCTCCTTTTTGTTACTCTCCCCAGGAAGCAGCCCATAGCAGCTGTCTAACTCCCAGGTACCCATTTACTGCTAGGTAACAGGGGCATCAGGGTGAAAAACATTTTGCCCATTTGTCTCCGCCTCCACCGAGGATCGAACCCGGAACCTCAGGACTATGAATCCGAAGCGCTGTCTACCCAGCTGTCGAAACTTTGCAGCAATGCCTTATTGCCATTTTCTTACATCCACAACAAGAGGCAACAAAATGACCTAGACAAACTGCAGGAATGGTCCAACAAAGGCTACTAAAGTTCAGCTCAAGTGAATGTAAAATAATGAAGCTAGGTGGAGGAAGCAGGCCAGAAAAGGTACCGAATGGGAGATCAAGTCGTTCTATGAGATTCATGAAGGATTTAGTCAATATCACACACAACCCATCTCCTGAAGCCCACATCAAAAGGACATAAGAGGCCTATGTGAGGCTGGCTTACATCAGAACTGCCTTTAGAAATAATTTATTTAGTCTTGTATAACACATATGCAAGACCAATCATGGAGTCCATCCCTTACTCAAACATAAAACAAAGCTGGAGAAGATTCATGGGTAAGCCACTAGACTAGTTTCAGAACCAAGAGGTACAAGTGACGTAAAGCTGCATGAATTGCACCTTACGTCACTAGAAAGTTAGGGAAGAAATGATTATCATACATACAATTTTTTGAGAATATACTGTAAATAAAGACAATATTAACACAGGTAGTACTCTCACACAAGGACAGGTGGAAACGGTACCTAGATGAGCCGCACACAAGTGGAATGAAGCATTCCACTTCACCTATCTTTCAGGCATTCCTGTATACAGGAGTCGTAGCAGATGTGTGGAAAAAAAGGCTAACAATTCCAATCTATAAAAGTGGTGGCAGGGAAGACCCCCCCCCCTCAATTATAGACTTGTATCATTGACAAGTGTAATAGTGAAAATATTGGAAAAACTAAAAACTAAATGGGTAGAACACCTGGAGAGAAATGATATATCAGACAGTATGGTTTTCGATCTGGAAGATCCTGTATATCGAATTTACTCTGTTTCTACGATCGAGCCACAGAGATTTTACAGGAAAGATGGTTAGGTTGACTGCATCTATCTGGACCTAAAAAAGGCTTTTGACAGAGTTCCACATAAGAGGTTGTTCTGGAAACTAGAAAATATTGGAGGGGTGACAGGTAAGCTAACATGGATGAAAAATTTTCCGACATAGAAAAATGAGGGCAGTAATCAGAGACAATGCATCGGACTGGAGAAATGTCACAAGTGGAGTACCACAGGGTTAAGTTCTTGCAGTGATGTTCATTGTCTACATAAAATGATTTTCCAGTTGGTATACAGAATTATATGAACATGGTTGCTGATGATGCTAAGATAATAGGAAGGACAAGAAACAGATTGTCATGCCCTTCATGAAGACCTGGACAAAAGTACATTGAGCACCACTTGGCAAATGGAATTTAAATTAATTAATGTGAATAAATGCCATGTCATGGAATGTGGAATAGGACAACATAGACCTCACACAACCTACAAATTATGTGGGAAATCTTTAAAGAATTCTGATAGAGAGATCTAGGGGTTCTAGATAGAAAACTATCACCCAAGGAGCATGTAATGAATGTTGTGCGAGGAGCCTATGCAACACTTTTTAACTTCAGAAATGCTTTTAAATACATGGATGGTGAAATACTAAAGAAATTGTTCATGATGTTTGTTAGGCCGAAGCTAGGATATGCAGCGGTTGTGTGGTGCCCATATCTTAAGAAGCACATCAAACTGGAAAAGGTGCAAATACATGCTACTAAGTGGCTCCCAGAACTGAAGGGCAAGAGCTACGAGGAGAGGTATAAAATATGCCAAAACTAGAAGACAAGAAAGAGGCGATATGATCACTACGTACAAAATAGTAACAGGAATTGATAAAATCGATAGGGAAGATTTCCCGAGACCTGGAACTTCAAGAACAAGAGGTCACAGATTTAAACTAAACAATGATGCCGAAAAAATTTAAGAAAATTCACTTTCGCCAACAGAGTGGCAGATGGTTGGACCAATTTAAGTGAGGTGGAGGAGGCCAAAACTGTCAGTAGTTTCAAGCATTATTATGACAGTGCTGGGTAGACGGGACACCACGAGCGTAGCTCTCGCCCTGTAACTACACTTGGGTAATTACACATGTATGCACACAAAGAAAACTTTTCCTGCATCAGTACTTAATAAATGGAATGCATTAGGAACCGAGATGGTGGAGATAGACTCCATTCAGTTTCAACTGAAGACATGATCGAGGCCAACAGGCACAGCTACCTGTACACTAGTCGATTGACAATTTAGAGCAAGTACAGTTATCCGAGAGGAAAAAAAATAAAAAAAAAAAGTTAATTGTTACCCGATTCTGGGATTTCACCATACGACTTCAAATTTCGGGCCTCATCAGCATTGTATTTCAGGATCACGTCAGCTTTTTTGTCTTGATAGTCACGTAGTCCAAGAAGAATGATGTCTCCTTGGTTGATCCATACCTGAAATTTTATTGGCACATTAAAAAAAAACAAAGAAAAAAAATACGATAGTATCAAATTTGCCTGCCCTAGCAACAATATGCTGTTGTGACTATAATTGTTTAAATCTACAGTAAATATAATGTGTTCTTGGAACAATTTGAACCCAATGTCATGGAGCCCATTCTAACTTTGCAATTCAAATCAAAACTATTCTCCATCTCCTTGGAATAATACAAATCTTAAATTCTTCCTCACATTACCAGCCTTTTGCAAGTATTCCTTGTAGGCATTACACTGCAATGTGCTACCTTCAGACAGTAACCACGCTCATCTGTACTTACAAAAACACACTACACAGCCTGCATACCTCTGACAATCCAAATTTACCTTTTCTAGAAACTATTTTATAAAAAAAATTAAATTCCAAAAGGAAACTAGTGATCTGATTTTGTTTTTAATGGAATGGGTTAAAAGACCAGGATTTGGGAGTACAGTATGCACTTAATTTCAACTCTATAGTCATCAAATACTACAAATTGTTACAATGTTAAAATGAAATTTTATTTAAAAGTCAATTACTTTGTAAATCTTATTGGTACATACAGTAGTATCTATAAATACAAAATAAATTTAATTTGCATACACAATTATTGAACTCTATACACAGTATATACAGTACTGTACTGTATATTTTAAAGTGCCCGAGTGAAGGCAAAAGAGGGTTGATGTGGTGGAGACTGCCGACGACAACCTGCCTCGCACTACAATTGTGGAGGCGTCTCTCAACAGCTACTTATGTATAATGTAAATTTTATGCCTAATGGAAATCAACTTCCACTTAACTCGCTCAGCACCACAGTTCACTCACACTACTGTGTGGAGTGAAAGTACAGTATTAAGGAATTTCCTGTTTCATTACTTCCCTAGTGGCCCAACATTGTCACATAAAAAGTGCCATACAAGTGTGTATATAACTGAACCATCTTGCATACAAAGATGTAATGGGCAAATAGACAATTTGGTACTATTATCCGAGGCATTATGGTAACTGTGGATGCCATGTTCCCAAGCGCGAGCAGCGGCAGTAGCTGCATTATGGTGGAACTGGCTGGAGGTGTAGACAAGGCTGCCTGGTTTTCTGTTTAAGTTTCATAGCAAGTCTGGCTAGACAACTTTTAGTATAGCCATCTATCTTGAAAGCAACTGATTACACAATACAAGTGTTTAATTCATCCTGTGCCCTAAAAATATTTATGGATTTATTGATATCTATATGTAGCTATGTTACCCATCATACAGTATACTGGGTACTTCCCCCCCCCCCCCAAGACAGTTGTGTTTACTTTCACCCCCTAAACATATTTGACAATTTGTCAGCCTATTTTACCTGCTTTACAACTGTAATGGCAAAATGGGTGGAACAATGCAACTGGACTTTTAACAATTCTCTGGATAGCTTGAGCAACCTCATGGTTAGTCCCAAGTGGGAGGTTATTACCACCTTTTGGGAACCAATGGTCTAGAAAACCCCCAGAATAACACTTACTTTTTTGCGAAGTTTTCCTCTAATGTGACAAAGTCGCTTCATGCCATCAGTAAAACACAGAGCTTCTAGTCTTCCATTGCCAAGCATTTTTGTAACCTGGCAATAAAAGAAAAATGTTAAAGTCAAAAACTTTAATAGAAGGAAAAAATACTTTCCAATGATGAAGGATACATGGCAACAAGTGGCTATTGTGATCATGCTGCATGCAATTAAAAAAAAAAAAATCAGCTCTATACTATTATCAATTACAGTACCAAACACATACCATATTAAAAACCATTTGATTACCTGTGCATATTCTTGCCCCTCCTCTTTGAAGATCAATTCCCTCTTCTCTGCCTCATTTTCGTTCTTACCACGCCTCCTGTTCTTTCCTCCCTTTCCTGTTTGGAAAATTAATTAGGTTTGAAAGCAATATCTTAAATTACATAACAGGCTACAATATTAGCCATAATATACCAGGTTGGGCTTTTTAAACTAGGCATTTAGGTATTGGCTTTAGGTATTGTATGTACTACCTCTATCTTTAAATCAAACAATGTACTGCAACTCTGCATGTACTTTTCCTAAATAAATTATTGTCATTATTATTTTATATTATGTGGATTAAAAAGCATCAACAGGGACAGCAGATTTCCACATGAAAAAGACTAGGAATTCAAAAGGCTGTTATAACTATAGGAGCATCATGAAATTACAATAACATGACACACTTGAGAAAATCCTTCAAGCAGGATGGCAAAACCAAATCAGCATTTTGAGTCAGCCCAGACATGCACCTTAACCTTAAACTGTGCAAAACGTCATGCGTGACATAAGGTTTTCTGTATAGTTTACGTTACTGAAAAAAAGTCAATATGGCATTCGAAATATGCACAAATTTAGACAAATTTATAACTCCAAACGTTTAGAGTTTATGAAAAATCAATTCTATAGGGATTGCAGAACAGAACTGTGCACACCATGTGTAAAAACGGTGATAATCGGTCAGAAACTAGATTTTTGGATACTGAAGTTGAAATTCTAGTTAGATATAATCGAGTTGAAGTTATCGACAATGAATAAGGCAGTTTTAATTCACGATTTTACTTGTATGTTGTAATAAACACCGTTTGGCATTCATACTCAAATATGTCTAAGTTGTTGGTCACCGTGTTGAAATGAAGTCGAGAAAATATAACCCCCCAAAAAATCAAAATATGTATAGGGATAATTATAATAATTTAGGGGATACTTTATATAAGTAAAAAAGCCCCAATCTGGTTCTTAATCATCAAAATCTAAAGAAACAAGGAAAATAGTTTGAATTCTGAAAAATAAAATCCTAAAAAAATATTCAAAAGTTTTGAAAGTTGTGACCGATTTTTTTGTCGACCAATTTAATTCTGTCTTCGCATAGGTAGGTAGGGGTATGCATTCTTCAGGATGAACAGGTTACAACAAATAAACAAACAAAGGAAGAAAAAATCTAAAATTTTCTTTTGGACATTGTTGAAAGTAACCGATAACATTGGGCAAAGTATTTATACAATATATAACAAAATAGAGCATAATAACAATCATTATTTGTGTTACGCATTACTCAGCAATGCTATAAAAGGTACCAGCTGTATATCCACTTTGTGGACACTACTATTCTTCTTTGTGTCAGACAGGTGCTTGTATCTATTACTGCATTATCCATCAGTTCCAGTTAATAGTAGCCGTTCTCCTTATCAACAAAACTTTATATATACTGTATTCGTCCAAAATCTATTTCCGAAAATGTTAAAAGTTTCACGACGTTGAAGCCAATAAGTTGGAGATTTTAACTTCAAGTAATTTTTACACAAGTCAAATATTTTTCAAATTATACCCTCTTATGCTGAGCAGTTTAAGGGTTAACCCACCAACCATTACATGCTCAAAGTAATAACCCGAAGTCCTCCCAGACTTGAGGAAACAGGAACCCGACTGCCCATTTCCCTTAGGGAAAGGGCAGCCAACAAGTGTGGTAATGTCAGCCGGAGAGAATGGCAAATGTGCATACATGCCAACTCCTTCAAAATTGTAAACGTGGGAAGTGACAAGTCATCAAATACCGGCCGAGTGATGCAGATATTGTTCAAACTGAAGACCACTCGAGGGATGAAGCACAGAGCAAGGTAGGTCATGACTCAAGTAGGCCTACACAAAAGTGCATGGAAGGGTAAACCAAGAATACAAAAGCTAAACAAAATTTACACAAGACAGTTGTCCTTAAATGTAAATAAGAGCCAATTTGCAGAGTATAATCAAACAGCAAACATGTATACCTAAATTTTAGGATTAACAAGAATTTGTATTCAATTACAGATTTTTGTAATTAATAATACAAATTTTTGTATTAATTTCCATTCCCCCCCAATACCAAAACTATGAAATAGGACTCAATTGCTGCCAAACATTTAAAACCAGCTACATCATCCCTACAATTCAAATATAACCCAACAAAGGCAAGTTTATGTTATAGCGAGCAAGAGCTTAGACGCTTCAAAAAACAACAATCAGGAAAAAAACTTGTACTCAATGAACTGGCCATTAAAAAAAAAAAAAAAATGGGCTACTTCAGCCATTAAAGAGAAATAATGGTGTGTGTTGTGTGGAGGATATGATGGACCCGAAACATTAGGCTGGGATAGATTTTGATTATCCCCCCCACCCCTCCCCACGGGGAGGCCTAACCAACCCCCACATCACCACCATACTCAATATTACCCCTTGGCCACGGAGCTACTTACACCAATAATAATATCCATCAACAGCCTGGCGTGCAGTAAGCCTCGTTCTATAATAACCACCATTAAATATACAAAACAAAATATATACAATACTCCGCTTAGTTCCTGGGACTGCGTTTTCCCTTCACAATTGATACGCCACCAAGAGGCGTAGTTCTCCCCCTCCCAGTAGTGGGACGCCCGCCACGTTGGACCCGGACAACTGTGGCCCCGGAGGCGCCTGGATGGGGAAGCTTACCCTTATTCTTAGGCATGACTGGTGTTGTGTGTGAGGCGGAGGGTGGTAGTGAAGGAGGCTGCTGACACGGGTCTCGTCGTCGCTGCTGCTGCTCCTCAAGGCTCAACCACCACCGTCAATACACACACTATACTCTACCGTATTGAAACAAATCTTTACTACTATGCTACTTTAAACAGTGAAATTTATTAAGGAAAAAGCGAGCGTGTTAGTATTAATTTAAATTTAAATAACGCATAACTATTAGTGTTTGGAGCTCAGTTGTGTTTTATATTTTTTTCATATATGTCTTTAAATTGTAACTTATTGCTTAAAATTCTAACAAAATGTGAGTATATTATTTTACTTGAAATAAAGTGAAATTAATAATTAATATTACAACAAAGATAATGTAATATAATAATTGCATCAAACAAATTAGCAATTTCCTTGATTTATCAAAAACACTTTAAAATGCCGACCATCGTGAAACATTACCGAGTAAATTACATAGAATTTATTACTTAAATAACTAATATAGCTTTACCATTATATATGGGGGTGATTAATGACAATTGGAATATTATTTGGAACACCACATTCCTGCCCGGGAAAAGTGGATGTAAACAAACACAGAGTTTGTGTCGTGTTGTGAGCGAGTCTCTGACACTGGGTGAGCGGTGGGTGGAAGGTTTCTGTACTGCTGTAATGCACCAACCAGCGTGTATTTTGCACTCTGACATTAACTGTCAGCGCAAAATATGAGTTGTGCTAATATGCTAATTCAATCTCCTTCAATGACTGCTGTTGTTTTTATTAGACAGGCTCGTTCTAAGGGTGTTTGGTGAGAACTGTCAAGTTGTGTATTGTATCCCTGAGAACGTAGCTATTTATGTTAATGGAAGTACTGTATTGGATTAAATTTTGGATTAATCTGTGGAAATATAAATTTGGTGAATATTTTGTACACTTGTCCTTCTAAAGTAATTTAAGTGTGATGAGTAACACTTATAGGAGATGAGTGGATAAGTTTGTTCAAAGACTCGTCAGAACTTAGTTTAACTTGGTTTTATGCTTAATGTAATACCTGAGTAATGGTTATCAGAGTTGATAACGAGTTGATAACAGACTTCCTTTGCTGTCTATAAATACACAGGTAGTGACAGCAAGTTTCCAAAGAAATTACATAGAGGTTACTCTACATTGCTAAGATAATAAAGAGCAAAAAAAAGTAATAACAGTACAGTACTATGAAAATAAATTTAATCAAAGGGTAACATGGAAAAAATATTAAAGCCACTTCCCACATACAGTTTTAGAAATATTAAATCATCAGTATTTGTCACAGTGAATTCAAATTACACAGTTAGATTTAGACAGGATATAGGAAAGAATGGTTTCACAGTAGAATTGTGACTGTAGGGTGCAATATATCTATGTCAAATACAAGAGTAAAGGAAATTATGTAAGGTCTATTGGACCATGCAAGACATTTGCTGTTTATTCCAGTCATCCTTTCCGGTATATATTCAAGTTTATTTATATAACATCACTTCAGTAAATGCAGTACATACCTTATGTTCTCTCCGATAACATTGGTGTGAAAGTTTGGTGAATGGATGGGTGTCATTTTGAGTGTCATTAACCTTATTTCCCTGTGCTGCTTTTCAGCCTTCTCTGAGTAAGTGCCCACCTCCACCATTCATGTGGTACATGGGGGTAATAATGATTACAATTCTGGTGTGTTGTAAAATATAGGATGGATAAATATACAAGAGAAAATGGTTGGGTTTAAACATGACCTGCATAAGACAGGAGGCCAACTATATTATTAATATCTTTTTATGTGTTGAGCTGTTTTCTTACATAATATATTACTGTATTTTTGTTTACAGGGTTACAAACTAACCAATTGCCAATATGAGAAGGGATTAAATGATTGACAGTGAGCAATAACAACTTAAGTGAAACCTAAAACAATGGAGACCCTCCGGTTTGCTGGAGATGATGATGATGACGATCTGTACTCTGGTTTTGACACTGTTCACCCAGCTCTTGACGTACGACAATTGGAAGCAGATCAAGGATTTCAAGAGGCGGTTCGCACAAGCTATGGGCGACGTCCTCCAGTAGGTCGCACTTGATTCTTTATAGATATATGCTGGAGTATAAACCCCATGCATGTGATGTCATGTGCAGGGTTGGAAGTCTTTAGCAACATCCATCATATTTACTTTATGCAGGGTTTTAGCATTAGGAAGACAATTGTCATATCATATCAGTGACCACAATCTGTACAGGATCTTGATGAGGCTAATAGATAATTACAATAAAAATGTTGATTTGCTGGAAAACATATATTTATGGAATAACCAAGGAATATTTAGAACTGTATTAACCCTTCCACTGTGGACCATGCTTGTCAGTGTAACTAATTTGTGAGGTATGTGAACTGCTCTGGTGAGCACTGGGATATGTGTGCAACTGTTGATAAAAATCCTGCAAGCATTTGGCTGCCCCTGTAACTGTAAGAGGTCTCTGGGGACAGAGTGGCCATGCTTGAAAACTTAGGAAAGCTGTAAAAATAACATGACAGCCTCTCCCACCATGCTGTATTACTGCCACACAAGCCCCCAACACTTTTTAAAATACTGTAGCATATTCCTGAATTTAGTTTAAGACCACTAACTCTAGTGGCCTTGGTGGAGTAAAGGAACTGGTGTTCCCCTCTTTATTCCTGTTATTGGTGGTAATTAATTGTGATGACACAGGGGTCTCCCTGAATGAACATGTTGGGACAATTTAACAATTTTGAGTGCCATCAGATGCATTCATTGCATTTGGAATGAGGCACAGGAGTGTGTTGAAACTCACACCCAAATACTATATTAAAATTGAAATTTCAACTTTTTTTTTATTGTTACTGTAATTACCATGTGATTTTCTGTAGCTTTGTAAGAAAATATTTTGTTTTGAATTGTTATCATTTTGTCAGTAGTTCTGAGGGCAAAGTTTCCGTTTTTGGGCTAGCCCTTGGTAGTGCTTTCTTGCATTGATGCTGGTATTTCAAAGACAGCCACAAAACTCTTAGGCCTATGACTTGTTCAGGCCTACTGAACACCAGAGCTAGTATCTGGGGTGCTCATAGAGGTGAGTGGAACATATGGATCCAAGAGTAAGATCATAACTGAGTAAAGCTGGCTAGAAATTGCTCAGTCCATACAAAGCAAACTATGTATCTTGGTGGAAGTAAGAAAAGATGGAAATGAGGGAAATGCCACCAGATAGCAGATCACATCACTTGCCTGCCCACTTCACTCACGTTTTGCCCTTGCACAGCCCCAAGCCCTACAAAAAAGGACAAAAACAAAAAATAGGGGAAACTACTATGGGCACCCATAAAAGGGCATTTCATTACATTTAATTTAAAAAAGTGTATTGAAGCATACACAGTAATTATAAGGCTGCAGAGCATAATGAAATTGTACAAATAGTAGTTAAACAAGTGAGTAAAAGCTTTGCATACATAAATTTTAGGTCTGTAAATGTGATTTTGGTCTTCCGAGGTAATGTATAACATTGATTTTCTTGTGTTTGACACTAGACTCAGAGCCGCATTCCAACAACTGCAGCCCGTCTGACCTCTGCTGCCCCTCCTCGACTAGGCACTACTCAAGGCACTGGAGTAAGTATAACAATGCCATCATGCAGCTTTTCTTAATCATGCTAACATAGACAGCATGATTACTGATTCAGTATTCTAGCTTGTGTATACAACCATACATCTCATTAATTTGTTGAATCTCATCTCGGTGTCCGTGTTTTTCTCTTTACAGTGATTGTATTGTGCTGCTATGGAGTATATTTCCATTTACTCTGACTCAGTTTTTCAACAGTACGAAGGTGTTCCCCAGTGTTGTATATTGAGCACTACTCTTTTTCCTGGTTGGTCCTGGTGGTCAGCCTTCCTGCCTGCCTTTCAGCATTTTCTTGAGCCTTTATGTTGTTGATTCACTCTGCTGTCAGGGTGATGACTTCCCTTTGTTCCAACATCAGCTTCAGCTTGCGATTAATGTCATGTCCTCCTGGGCCACCAGTCATGGTTTCAAATTATCTGATTAAGACCTGTGCTATGACTTTTACTTGGAAACAGGTCATTCTTCGTCCCCCTTTCTTACTCTATGGTAATCCCCTTCTGTATAAAGATTCTGCTAAAGTTTTGGGGTTAATACTCGAAAAGGAGTTCCTTATTCTGATTTCTACCCACTCATTCATTCCTCGATCTGTGCCAGTTGGCAGGGTCGTTGGTCTTCTGTTACTAGGTAACAAATTGCGTGCTCTTAAGGGTAGCCTGTCCCCATGGCCTTTCCCCCACCACCGGTTACAGCTCTGGCGAGGTTATGTATTGGCCATACACGTTTAACTCTCAGGCACTTAATGAAGTGCCATCCTGCTCCTTATTGTTTGAACTGCAGTGTCCCTCTTACAGTAATGCATTGTTGAATGTCCTGACTTTCAGGACGTGTGTGTGTGTGTCTTGCTTCTCGCCTGTCCCCTCCCTGTCATTTGTCCCCACTGGAATCCGTGGCAAATCTGATACCTTTGAGATCGCTCATCTCGTATGCTTTTTTTTGTTTTGTTTTGGCATCCTTAAGGATATTTAGTGCCTTTTGAATAGCCTGTGATTTTGATGGTGCTACATAGTTAGTCTCCTCAGCTTGGTGCCTTCCTTTGATAATTACTTAATTAGGTAGTTATTACACACACTCCACTCTCCCTCACTTTAGTCACCATTTCATTAGTTGGAGACCAAGTAACCATTTTCAAGTGTCCATTATTTAGAAACATTTATTCAAAGGAGATTAACTATGTCTGTTTGGAATATGCTGTATGTTAAATCATTTATGCAAGCTAACAGTAAGAAATAAGTTATGTATTTAAGAAATTACACCTTCTGATAAGTACTGAATTAAAAGCTTCAATATTAACAAAACGTGTATTACACGATTAGGAATATAAAATATTTTAGGTTCATGCTTGTAAATAAAATTTTGCAGTTGTGGGTCAGTCAACCAATGTTCTTCATTGCCTTTAGATAGCCTTTATTAATTACAGCATAATACATTTTCCATATTTGTAACAAAAAATATATAAATATATATATTGTGTTTGCAGGCACCTCTTCATAGTTCTTTGGGTCAGGTTGGTGGTGGCGGTTCAAGTGATGGATTACGACGGCCAATGACAAGCATGCGGGGCACAGGCTACACCTCACATGGTAGTGTTTTCGACCCACTTAATCAGGCTAATAAAGGTCCTGCACCACCTCTGATCTCAAAGACAGAGGAGAGGTAAGTTTGGGGAAAATTATGACAACATCTCAGAGAAATGCTCTACATCTTTAATGTAAATAAAGATTTTTCCAGGAAAGAAGAAACACTGTCTAGTTATGTGCAAAATTAGTAGGAATGGTTAAGTGTTAATAGTGATTGATCAGTTTAAATTCCAGATGTATATGATTGATAAAAAATACATTTTACTGAGAGATGATGACAAATTAATGAGGTAGGGAAAGACAATGGTACTGTACAATGAAATCCTGGAATAGGAAGAATATGAGAGGAATGTAGTGAGAGGGGCTGCATGTAGGGATTATGAGTGTATTATTGAGAGAAATAAGACCTTAAAAATATTTTTGTTACAGTACATGTAGTACAGTATGTATAAAGAACAGCATTTATCACCTAGGTTTAATTGGAAATTTATTTTCCAATTAATTTTGGATTTTTTTTTCCAAAACAGCAAGTTAAGGGTCCTCTGGTAGGTTAGGAGGGCAGGAAGTTCTCATGAGGTTTCAAAACATCATGAAAACAGTTAATTGAAAGTTTCCTTTCCTAACATAACAGCCTAAGCCAGATGACCCAAAATAGAAAATCAGACAGTATGTCACTTTCGTGAGCCAATTTCATTTTGAACTATACATTGATTTTTAGCCTGAATGTGCATACGAGCGAAAAATGACGTCATTTGTAAGAGGACTGGTTACTTGGGTAGGAAGTGGTATTGTTGCTGGTTGGGGCATCAAGATGTTGTGCAGCTAGTCTATCTAAGCAGCGGCCGGTTCCTGTTTCCTCTGGGGGACGTTGTACTTTTGCGGGGTTTTTATTTTCTTTGCTTTACCTGGTGGGGGTCTACCTGGTGTAGTTATTGGACCGCTCATAATAATTTGATGGCCCTCTGCTAGGCCCCTGTAATTGTACACGTCACAAGGGTTTCAGTATTTGATCTCCCTCACCCCCCCCCCCTCTCTTTGTTAGCTTTGGGTCTAACTGGTTAGCAACACCTTGCCTGGGCTTCCTGTAGCAGTCAGCCTACGGGCCCTGGAAAACCCTGTCGGCGCTCAGTGGACGTGTGGATGCGTCCTCAGAGTTCTAGCTCGCTTCGTACGAGTTTAAGGGTTGCTGTGTGCCCTGTCACAGGATGAGTCACTGCTTTTGCCTCCATCAAGCTGCCTGTTGGGGTCAACAACACCTTTCACCCGGAATCTTGCGAGTTGTGCTCTCTGCATGTTCTCCAGGTTTACCCATTCTGATATCATTGATATTTAGGAACAGGCAGCATCCACATTGCATGCTAGGTTTAGGTTGCTGCAACACACTAGGTTGGTTGCCCACCCGGATGCCCTGAGGCTGCCCCATTTTGGTTATAGGGATTCAGACTTGAGTGCATTAGTCACTTTGACTTTCGTTCAGTCTGCGCTTCTTGGTCCTTTCCCTGTTGTTCACCCTGCATCCCTTCCCCTGCTTCTGGCTCCCAAACGTCTGAGGGTTTCAGAGTCGGAGCGGGGTTTAGTTGGTAATGAGACTGGCAGCTTTGGGGGCGGCCCCGTTCGGGTTGGGGACGGAGGCTTTCGAACTGGTTTCTCCTGCCGAGGCTTCTGGGACCCACCAGCAGGGCCTTTACTTTTCCCCTGGACTCTACCTTTTCTTCAGGGGTAAAGTGTATGGAGGACCACTCTGTCCTGGATCTCGACTTAGAAGATCCTGGGGTCTGGGGAGGAGTTGACCTGGGTGGCTTTGGGCCCCCTTTGACCCCGCTTGGGTGTTGGTGCCGTCTTCGTGGGGCTTGTTGTTGCAACGGGAGGATTTTTTTTACCCCCCCCCCCTTTCCCTGTATGAATATGATTACATGATTTGGGCTTCTTGGCTCCTCCCTGGGTTCGGTTCCGGGTTCCCTTTGGTTCCTCGACTCCGTCTTTCCAGAGGTTTTCTGCCTCTCGTATCTCACCTAAGGAGGTTTGGGAGGCTGCTTGCTGCTTACCTCCTGCGAGACCTGGATTCTGCCTCTGTGATGGATCCATTGTCGTTTGAGTTTGGTTCTTATTTCGCATATTGGGTGTGTTTGGAGATTCCAGAGTCTTCCTGGCTGGCAGACTGCCCGTTCTTTTCGTTGGGGGCGTGGCATGGGTTCTGTCGGACCCGCATGCTTGACCGGCGAGAAACTTCTGCCATTCTGCAGGTTTACCTGGGGGTGGGGGGGGGGGGGCGGGTTTGAGCACCTTAATGCGTGGTTGTTTGCCCCTGTACATCCTTGGGATGATGGCCTGGTGCAGCTTTCACGTGCAGGTTCCCACCCTTTTGGCTTCTTCGGTTGCTGAGGATTTGCATGCCCATGGGCATTTGGCTTCAGTCTTGCGCTTCTTTTCCCTTCTTGAGTTTTCCTCTAACTGGCTTGAGGAGGATGTGGAAGGGTTGAGTGCCGGGTCTTTTTCTGGTGCACTGGCTTCGGCGGCTAGGGCATTGGCCGCACTGTTGAGGCTGTTTACGCCAATTCTCAAGGAGGCAATGTATCTGTTCTTTGCTTCTCACCTCACATGGCTGTGCTTGCTTTGTCCTTGGAATCTGCTTGGGCCCTTGCTCTTAGTTTTCGTCACTGTTTTGTCCATTGCTATTTGTGGGGTCTGTGGTCACACAGTTTCTGCAGGTGGTTTCGTCTAGTTGTCATCCTATGTCGAACCTGTTGGTTCTCCGGGGTTCTTGGAAAGGTCATGCCAGGGCTCGGGGTTCCCCTGGTCAGGGTGGGCCATTGGTGGCAGTTTCTGAACTGACGTCGCCTTTGGAGCCAATGGCGTCTAGGTGGTGCAGTTATTGCTCTGTTCGTCGGTTGACTTCTCATAAGGGGCATCTGCCCTTTCATGGTTCGCCCCGCTTGGTCCCACGATTTGTGAGGGCTTTGGGTTGTATCCAGCGGCCTGTGGTGGTCTTGGGATGGCTCCTGCTCCTCTGGGAGTTCCAGGCTTATGGGGCAAGCTTCTTACCTTGCATTCCGTTGGATCATCTCGGAGTGGGGGTGCTAAAGCCTGGTTAAAACCACCCCAGCCCTCAGGTGGGTTTCTCACCTGTTGAAAATGGACTGTGTAGTTTCTCCCATTTCACTGGTTTCTCACCTATGCTGAAATGGAACTGTGTGGATCTGTAGTTCATTCTGGACTTGTCCTGCCTGAACCCTTTGGATTCCTTGCTCCTCTATTTGGATGACCACATTTTCTCGGATTCAACTTCTTTTGGAATCGGGTACCTGGATGGTGTCCCTGAACATGGACGTGTATTGGCACGTTCCTATTCATCCGGGGTTCAGGGACTGGATTGATTTCGTGGTGGGGCGTCAGGCTTCCCACTTTCGCTGCCTTCCTTTTGGCTTTAATTTGGCACCTCGTGTATTCACATGTCTTACCGGTTCGTGGTGACCTGTCTGCGTCTGCTAAGGGTTCGGGTTCTGGTCTACCTTAATGACTGGGTGGTGTGGGGTCCCAGCCGGTTTGCTTATCCGCTCGCCAGGGGTGTGGTTTTTTTCCCATCTCGCTGGGATCGGGTTTCTGGTGAACTGAAGGAAGTCCCATCTGATTCTGTCCCAGGTTCAGACCTGACTGGGTCTTGTTTGGGATTCTTGGACCGCTTCCATGTCTCTCCCACCGGAGGCATTACTGTGGCTGTGGTCCTGCCTTCAGCTGTTTCTGGGGGAGGGGGTCCCAGGTCACTCAGCAGTTGCTCAAGCAGTTGTGCAGGAGTCTGAACATTGGCATGCTGGTTTACCCGCTGGGTTGGGTTTAGCTTTGGCGTCTGTTCTGGTTCCTTCGGGGACGCCCCTTCTGTCTCTCTTGCTATCGCCTCTCTTACTGTCTTGCTACCTCTGGGGGCCTTGTGTCGCCGGCTTCCTCTCTCTTCAAGTTTTTTGGGATTCAGTGCCTTGGTGCCTACCCAAGCCCTTGCCTGACGTGCTCATGGACACATCATCTCTCGGCTAGGGCTTTGTGACCAGTGCTCACCAGGTCAGCCAGGAGCGGTGGGGTCCGTCCTTCCATCGGGCTCACAGCATGGTGCGGGTGTTCATGGTGATCTAGCTGTCGCTTCGGAGGGTTCAGGTCGCTCGATTTTTCAATCGTTCGGCTCCGTTCAGACTGTTCTCTGGTGGTTTATTGGCTGAACCTTAGGGTTCCCTTCAGTCCTTGCCTTTTTGGGGCTGGTTGCTTCAAATGACTCGTCTGCGGAATTCTTAGGGTTTGGCTCTCAGTACGGTTCATATCCGAAGAGTGTCCTATGTCCTGGCAGATGGCCTGTCTCGGTTTATTCCCCTATCCACGGAATGGACAGTCGACGCCAACTCCTTCAGTTGGCTCTGCCGGACGTACGGGCTCCTAGAGGTGGATCTCTTTGCGTCGGCTTGATCGAGGTGTCTCCCGATATATGTGGCGCCCTTCCCTGACCACGGAGCGTTCGCGGTGGATGCCTTTTGGCAGGACTGGTCGAGGTGGGGGTTACCTGTACCTCTTTCCCCAGTCCAGCTCTTGCTTCGGGTTCTGACTCAGTTGAAGTCCTACCATGGGTGAGTAGTCCTCCTGGCTCCTTGGTGGCCGTCCTAGCCTTGGAGCCTTGGTTTCGGGCGCTTCTTGCTCGGTGTCCGAACCCGGGGCATTTACCTTGGCTCCGTCTCTTCCAGCAAATCGGACTGGTCCGGTACACGCCTGGTTCTGTCTTCTAACTCCGCTCATTGTATCTTGTCTTTTTGACGCGAGTTTATCACCATTTGTACGGTGAACAGGTGCCTTCGTTGATGGTGTCACAACTGAGAACTTCATCTTGGCGACAGTACAGTATGTAGTTTCCTGGTATTCTTTCCCCCATTTTCTCTCTCTTCATAGGTTGATTTCTATTTCTGATTGGGTTGTCTTGTCCTTTCTATCCTGGCTTTTTTAGGATCGTCATTTAATGCCTAATATTGTACTGTCACCTCGTATCGTGCGGCAATGGCAGAGCCGCTGCAGCTTGCGTTCGAGGTGGATGTCACTTCTGCCCCGTTCCGTAAGATTTCTCGTGCTTTGTTTGAACTCCGCCCTGCTCATGTGCCACCTGAGCTGTCCTGGTCCTTGGACGTGGTGGCCCCTTCGGTTCAAGATTTTTTCAAGGGTCTTTCTGTTGGCATTGGCCTCTAGGGGTCGGGTCGGTGAGCTTCATGCTCTCCTCTGGCGCAGGGGTTTCTGCTCCTTCGGTTCTGGTAGTCTGTTGGTTCAGTTGCAGCCTTCTCCTTCTTTTCTGGCAAAGAGCGAGACAGCTGCTTTCCAGAGGGGTCCTTGGGTCATTGATGCCTGGTTGGTCAGGCCGAGGGTGCATCATGTGTTGTGTCCGGTTGCGGCTCTTCGCTGTTACCTCTGCAGCTTGGCTTCTGTGGCCGGGAGGCGCTTTGGGTTAATCCGGTTTCCCTCATTCGCTGTTCCAGGGCTTGGGTCTCCCAGGTCATCTGCAGGGTTATTAGGTCTAGCCAGTCTGTGGTCTATCCTCGTGCCCATGACGTTCGGAAGTTTACTACTTTAGCTGCCATCTTTGGCAACATGTCTTGGGCTGATATTCGGGCGCAGAGATTTTGGAGGTCGAACAGGGTCCTGGTCGCCTGTTATTTGGTTAACGTTCCTGGTTCTGGGTATTCGTGTGTGGCTTTGGGTCGCAGGTTGCAGCCAGTTGTCTCGCCTTCGAGTTAAGAAGCTTGTGGCGGCCGTCTCCTGGGTAAGTCCCTTTTCTTCCTTATCTTTGGTTATGTAGCTCCAGGGAGCCGAATGGGCTCCCCTCAGAAAACCAGTGTTGAATGTAATGAAAAGCCATTTTCTGGTAGAGTTCCAGAGGCTCCCTGGTACCCTCCCTCTCTCCCTCTGGTCAGTGGTTTTTATGTTGGGGGAAGGGTCTAGAGTTCCCCCCTGGGGGGTGATTGCATGTCCTATTGATGCGACCATTTCTTAACATATATTACGCTGATGCCATATAATTGGAGTTTTGTTTAACATTTTCAAGCAATTTTCATATACAGCAATTCAAATATTTTTAGAGTTTCTGGCTCCTTAAGTGTTTCATTGGCTGCTTCTTGATGCTTTTTTTGACAGTGTAGGTGCTGACACCAGGCTGGCTGGGTAGCCAGCTAGAAACTAGCAAAGTGATACTTGGCACAGTCACTGAGGATCAATAAATATTGTCAAAGATTCCTACTGGGGAGTGAAGTTTGACTTTGCCTGACAGTTGTTGGATCATGTTCAAAGGGCTTTCTCAGAAAGAAGCTGTTCGTCTATATTCAAAGCCATATTTTTTCCTCACTCAGTCCTGAAGAAAAGATAAAATCTTTGGAACGTCGTGTGATGGGACTTATTGAAGAATCATGCATGGCAGCTTCACGGGGGGAAATACGGTTGGCACTGGACAGAGCTAAAGAGGCATCCAGCAAAGAACGTTCCCTCATTCGGCAACGAGAGCAAGCTGGATTATCAGATGGACATAACTTGGACCTCACGTTTTCTGTATGTATTGAAAAAGAGAAAGTTCTATTAACTGTAGTTATATTAGAAATTTAAGCATAATGATTGATATTTTCACTAGTAATTAGGAATCCCTAATTGAGAATTTGTAAGAAATTTAAAAGAATTACAATGGGGCCTCGACTTACGATGCTAATCCGTTCCCAGAGACGGATCGTAAGTCGAAATATCGTAAGTCGAAGCGATTTTTCCTATAAGAAATAAAGGGAATTGAATTAATCCATTCCCCACCCTCCAAAATATTAACATACAAATACATTTTATACTGAATACAATGTTTTTTTCTAACTACAATACAGTACCAAAGTTTCTCTTACCTTTATGGAGGGCTCTTGATGGCGTATGGAAGATGGTGATGAGGGGGAGGAGAAGAGTTGTTACTGTTTGGAAGGGGAGTCCCTTTCCATTATCACATCAGGCAGTGATGTTTTCTCTGGGGTACTCTCTCTCCTACGTTTTGCCTGAATACCACTAGGACCTGGTTGTGGTTCAGTGCTTGTTTGTCTCACTACAAATTTCTCAAGAGACATTTGTTTTTCCCTTCGTTTTAACATTTGTCTGTAATGATGCATCACAGTGTCATTGAATAGGTTAAGGCAACGACCTACTGAAGCTTGATTTGGGTGAGTCGTTTCAGCAAAGGTTTGCAATTCTTCCCGTGCTGCACACATTTTCTTAATTGATGAGGAAGAGACATTCTGTACTCTTGTTTCTGCTCTATGGTCATCCTTACATGGGTTTTCATATGTTGAGCCTTACCACTGACTTTCCTGGGACTCATGGCATGATATATAATAATTACATTAATGTTCAAAATGCAAAAAATCACCACAGAAGCGGAATTTCTTATAGGCGCGATCGTCACTAAGCGGGCAGCTGTAGTAAACTGAGGCAGGTCGGCCGCGTGACCGGGAACCACATGCTCGGTCAACCCGAATGTGTACCAACAATTATCGGAAGTCGACGACACCATCGGATGTCGAGTCACATTTTTCGATGAAATTTACATGGTAACTCGAAATTATCGTAAGTAGTATGTCGAGGTGCCACTGTATTTGGATATTATTCACATAAAATTTCAGTGATTGTGTGATATCTGGAATATACCTTTTATGTCAGCTTGAAATTCTCAAGACAAATCTATACTGGTACAAGAAAGGTGTGTATGTTATTGGGTCCTATAAATAGTTTAACACATCCTTGAAGGGAAATGATGTGACCTTGAGCCATGTCTCAAAAATGTTAAGTGTAGCTGCACCAAAATTTCTATACACATGCATTGATGCCAGGAAATACTCCTAGTAATCTCGGTTGCACCCACTACTACAACAATCACTGTAACAAACATTATCACTGCAACTATCACCTATAACTTTTACTACAACAACCATTAAAAAACCACCAACACCTCATGCTCATTATATTTATGCTACTGATTACACTCTCTGCATTCATTGCAGTATCCTGCAATCATTGCATGTTGTGTACTAAATGTAGCACCCAGTTCATATCATGAGATATACTGCCTTTTTCAGTCACCTCATATGACTGAAATATTTCTGTTTGTTCTATACGTTTCCATTTCTGTGGGGAGCCCCATTGGCTCATTGAAGCTGTCCCACTGATACAGTGCTATCCTATTTGAGGTCATCATTCACAGTTCTTGTTGCTTACTGGGGACCCGTGCCAAAACCTGGTCTCACCTCAGAGAGGCGTAGGGACCAATGGCCTATAAACACTTTAAATATGAAATATATCATACTTGCCATAGACCGGGGAAGGCAGTTAGAAAGGTAGGCAAAAAAACTGACCACTGTCTTGTTGAAAAATGTGACCTATGTCCTCAAAAGAGCAAAAGAACTCACCATAAAGAAAACAAACAATTAATTCAACTAGCCCCCGCTTGTTAGCGCCACCCCATCCCTGGGTAGGGGGGTGCTGGCTCGTGTGAGCCCGGCTACCAACCTTTTAGTTCTTGACTGGTGGCTCTTGGGGCTTGGTGTGGCTTTTGTCGTACCCACACACTTGAGTGGCGAGAGGTTTCCACAGTATTGCAGGTGTTCTTGGGGGGGGGGGGAGGCTCTGGAGTTTCTCAACGAGTCCCTCTTCACCCCTGCACTTCCTCGTGATGTTGGTCTGGTGCAGCTGGATGCTCAGGTCCCCTCTCTTTTGGCTGCTTAGGTGGCCGATGATTTTCGGGATATTTGGGCACGGGGGGTTTTGGAGGTCAAACAGGGTCCTGGCTGCCAGGTATCTTGTGAACGTCCTAGGCCCTCTGCGGCCATGTGTTGCTTTGGGGCGTCTGTCATGGCCATCTGTCTCTTCCTTGCTTTGAAACCTGCAGTGCTGCTGCCTCCCTGGTAAGTCCCTGTTTTTCCTTCTCTGTGGGTAGTTAGTTTCAGGGAGCTGATGGAGCTCCCCACAGAAAACCAGCATTGAATGTAGTGTAACGCCAGTTTTGGGGTGAACCCCGGAGGCTTCCTGACCCTCTCCCTCCCTCTGGTAGGCGACTTTCATCATTCAAGAACTAGAGGGTGGGTAGCCGGACTCATTTGAGCCAGCTTCCCCCTTTCCCCCACAACGAAGGGGGGGGGCACTAACGAGCGGGGGCTAGTTGAACGTAGTGTTGCTTGTTTGTTTTTCTTGTGGGGAGTTTTTTTTTTTTTTTTGCTGTTTTGAGAACATAGGTTGCATTTTTCAACCAGACAGTAGTCTGTTTTGTTTTACCTACTTTTCTAGGTGCCTTTCCCAGTCAATGGCAAGTATGATATACTTTAAATGTAAAGTGTTGATAGACCATTGGTCCCTACGCCTCTTTGAGGAGGGGACCAGGTTTTGGTGCTGGTCCCCGGTAGGCATCAAGAACTCTGACTGATGACCCCAAATTGGATAGCACTATATCAGTAGGATAGCTCCAGGGAGCCTATAGGGCTCACTCAGAAATTGGCATTTCACTACATTCAACACTGGTGTTTTGTTAATTTAACGTGTGAATTCAAGCTATTATTGTGCCAACTACTGTGATAATATTTGAAGGATAAATCGAATTTAAATTTGATGAATTTTGTTACAGTTTAAAAAACTCTCTTGTTATTATGTTGTCTTGAAATAGTCTACTCTTAATACAGTGTAATTCTAAGTTACTCTCAAGTCATTGCTGCTACATACACATCAACTTAGTTTAGTCAGCTGCTACACTTGAATGTTTATTAATGTTAAACTTGATTTTAGGTTTTGTTTAACCTTGCAAACCAATATGCTGCCAACGATATGTACACAGAAGCTCTAAATACTTATCAAGTCATCACAAAAGACCGTATGTTTAATAATTCTGGAAGGCTGAGAGTGAACATGGGAAATATTCATTACAAGATGGGTCAATACAACAAGGCTGTCAAGTTTTACCGTATGGCATTAGACCAGGTGCCAAACACACATAAGAGTATGAGGTTCGTATTGTACTAGTCTTGAGACTTTGCATGTGTTGGATTATACAGCTATGATTTAATCAGTTAAATTTGTTAAACAAATTTTGTACTGTATATCAAATGTAACTGATACTTATTTAATCTTAAATATAGATTAAATCAACAATATTGAGCAAGTTGATTTAGTTTTTCTAATGAATTTTGTTTGAATTTGGCATCCAATATAATTTTCCATGGAGATCCCCTTCGGTTTCTCAGAGCTACACTAGGCTGATGTGTATATATTAGACCATGGCACTAGTCAGTCGATGGAGTTCTAGGCCTACCGGGGACCAGTGCCAGACCTTGGTCTCCTCAGAGAGGCATGAGGAGCAATGGCCTATAGACACCCCCATGTAATTTGAAGCAGTCTATGTCTGCTATCTACCAGGTCAGGCACCCAGAAAGATAGGAATTCCAAAACAAACTACAGCTGGTTAAAAATTGCAAACCGAATGCTGAACTAGCAAGCAGAACTCCCTAATCGAAAACAAGCAAACAAGCATGATGTCACCATAGCCGCTGTCTGTGCTACTCCCTCCTTCCTGGGAGGAGGAAGTGGGGAGCCCCAGCCCCCCCTAGCACTGGCTTCCCAACCTCAGTTCAGTGGCTGTTGTGTTTGGTGACTGTTGATTGACTCTGGCTGCATCCTTTTGAGCAGTGCTGTCCATAGCAATGTTGTTGTTCTGTGTGGTGGTGTGTGAGCCAGGAGTAACACAAGAGTACTGGGGCTGTATGCACCTAGGGCCACCTTCCCTAGGTGCCCTGTAAGTACTGCCTTTGCAGCTTGGGGTTATCTTCCATAGGCCGTTCGGGAGACTACCTCTTTGTGGTTCTTTTGCTGCTCGGTGATTGCGCACCCTTGGGGTCAGCTGGGATTGTTCTTACTCCGGTTTGACCTTGGGTAAGAGGAAGTATTGTCGCTAGGAGGGGCGCAAGGTACTGTCTGATATATGCTTAGCAGCCGGTTCTGTTCCCCTGGAGGTGTTGTGCTTTTGCGAGTTTTTTTGTTTTTTTTTTGTGTTGCCTGGTGGGGGTCTGCCTGGTGTGGCTGTAAGACTGCTTGTATGATTTTGGTGACCATCCACTGGGTACCCCGTGCTTGCACACATCACAGGGGTTCAGCTTTCAGTTTGTTCGCTTGGTAGCTCTGGGATAATCGGTAGCAGTACCTTGCCTGAGCTTCCCTTAGCAGTCAGCCTAAGGGCCCTGGGAAACCCCATTAGGGCTCACTGGTCCAATAGAGGAGACCTCTGAATCCCACTTCGCTTCGTGTGAGTTTGAAGGTTGCTCTGTTCCCCTATCTCAGGGTGACATTCACCGTCTTTGCCTCCGCCATTCTGCCTGTTGGGTTGATGACACCTTTGACCCAGAGTCTTGGGAGTGATGTTCCTTGCATGTATTCCAGTTCACCCAGTCAGATAATACTGTTGATCAGGTGCAGGCAGCATCTGTGTTGCATGCACAGTTTAGGTTGTTGCAACGCTCTAGGTTCATTGCCTTTCTGGATGCTCCGCGGCTGCCCCACTTTGGTTATAGGGACCCGGACTTTGGGGTGTGTTAGTCGCTTTGACTCTGGTTTCATCCGCACCCCCTTGTCCTTCCCTTGCTGTGATTCATCCTGCTCCCCTTCTGCTCCTGGCTGCTGAGGTTCATTCTGGACTTGTCCTATCTGAACCCTTGGGTTTTTGCCCCTGCTTTCGGATGACTTCTCTGTCCCAGGTCCAGCTGCTTTTGGAACCAGGCGCTTGGATGGTGTCCCTAGACCTCTGGGACGCGTAATGGCATGTCCCGATTCATCCAAAGTTCAGAGACTGGCTCGGTTTTGTCATGGGGCAGCGAGCTTCAGCTATCGTTGACTTCCTTTCAGCTTGAATCTGGCATCTCGAGTTTTCACATGCCTTACCCAGGTCGTGGTGACCTGTTTGCATCTGTTAGGGGTTCAGGTTCTGGCTCACCTTGATGACTGGCTGGTCAGGACTTCCAGCCAGTCCACGTGTATGCTTGCCAGGGATTTGGTTCTTTCCCCGCTTACCAAGTTTGGGGTCTTGGTGAACTGGAGGAAGTCCCATTTTGTTCTCTCTCAGGTCCGGATTTAGCGGGGTCTTGTGTGGGACTTTCAAGCCGCTTCCTTCTTTCTCCCTCCGGCGGTATTGCTGCAGCTGCAGTCTCACTTACGGCTGTTTTTGGAGGGCACCCGAGTCACTCTCCGGTTGTTCGAGCAGCTGTGTCTGAACTTCACCGTTCTGGTCTACCCGTTGAGTCGGATCTGGCTTTGGCGGCTGATTTGGTTCCTTCGGGGACGTCCCTTCTCCAGTTCTCGCAATCGCTGGGTTCGGACCCCGGGGGCCTTGCGTCGGTTGCTGCATTGCTGGCTTCCTCTTCGGTTTTTTTGGGGTTCCTACCCGAGCCCTCGCTCGATGTGTTCACGGACACGTCGTCTCTAGGCTGCGATTTTGTGACCATTGCTCACAAGTCCGGCCAGGGTCGGTGGGTTTCGTCGTTTCGTCGGGCTCACAGCACAGTGCTGGAGTTTGTGGCGGTGTGGTATTCGCTTTGGAGAGTTTGCGTCACTCGCGTATTAACTATTTGGCTCTATTTGAACGGCTCCTTAGTAGTTCATTGCCTGAACCGAGGGGGTTCAATGGCTCTTTGGGGCTGGTCGCTTCGGGTGACTCGTCTGCTGAGTTCTCGGAGGTTTGTGTATATACTCCTGGCTCTCCTGGTGGTTCACGTTCAGGAGGTGTCCGTCATCCTGGCAATTGGTCTGTCCCAGTTCATTCCCCTTTCCACGGAATGGACAGTCGATGCCAACTCGTTTAGTTGGCTCTGCCGGATGTACGGGCGCCCGGAGGTAGACCTCTTCGCATCGGCGTGGTCGAGGCGTCTTCCTGGGGTATGTGGCACCCCCTGCTCAGATTGCGAGGCCGTCTGGGTCGATGCTTTTTGGCTGGACTCATCGAAATAAGATTTCTTGTACTTCGTCCTACCAGTTTGGTTGTTGCTCCAGGTCCTAGCTTGCTTGGAGACTTACCAGGGGAGAATAGTCCTGTTGGCCCCTTGGTGGCCGGCCTAGCCATGGTTTCAGGCGGTGTTTGCTTGATGGCCGAACCCGAGGGTCTTCCTGCGGCTTCACCTCTTTTAGCAGATTGGTCTGGTCCAGTACGTGGCTGGTTTGATTTTCTTTCCCAATCTTCATGACTGGTGTTTTTGACACCAGTTTATCACCCCCTTGTATGGTTATCAGGTGGCTTCGTTGATGGTGTCTCATCTGCGAGTTTTGCCGCGGCGGCATTATGAAGTTTCCTGGCGGTCCTTTCGGCACTTCTTGACTCTTCGTAGATTGTCTTTGATTTCTAATCGGGTTGTTTTGTTCTTTCTCTCTTGATTGTTTCAGGACCTTCATCTTATGCCGAGTACTGTCGCCTCGTATCGTGCGACGCTGGCGGAGCCGCTTCAGCTTGCGTTCAGGGTGGACGTCACTTCTGCTCCATTCCACAAGATTTCTCGGGAGTTGTTTCACCTCTGGTCGGCTCATGTCCCACCTGAGTCATCCTGTTCGTTGGACTGGATGCTCTCTTTCCTCTCTTCTCAGTTTGTGGTGGCCCCTTCAGTTCAGGACTGTTTTTCTAAGACTCTTTTTTTTGTTATCATTGGCCTCTGGGGGTCGGGTTGGGGGAGCTCCATGCTCTCCTCCGGCACAGGTTTCTGCTCTTTTAGTCCTGGTGGTCGTTTTGTTCGTTTGCAACCATCTGCTTCTTTTCTGGTGAAGAATAAGACTGCTGCTTTCCAGAGGGGTCCTTAGGTTGTTGATGATTGGTTGGTTCGGCAGGGGGTTGCATCATGTTTAGTCCGGTTGCAGCTCTTTGCCTTTATTTGCGCGCAACGGCCTCCGTGGCAGGGGACTCTTTGAGTAGATCCCGTTTCCCCTTCTTCCCTGTTCCAGGGCACGGGTCTTCCAGGTTGTCCACAAGATTATTCAGTCCAGCCAGCCTGCGGTCTATCCCCGTGCCCACAATGTTCGTAAGTTTGCGGCTTTGGCTGCTGTTTTTGGTAATATGTCTTGGGCTGACATTTGGGCACAGAGCTATTGGAGGTTGAACAGGGTTCTGGCTGCACCTTCCTGGCCCTTCTCGGGCGTGTGTAGTCTTCAGTCGCAGGTTGCAGCCAGTTCTCTCAATTTCGAGTTGAGGAGCGAGTGGTGGCCGCCTCCCGGGTAAGTCCTTCTTTTCCTTTATCTTTGGTTAGGTAGCTCCGGGGAACTGAAGGAGGTTATCTTGAGGTTATCTTGAGATGATTTCGGGGCTTTAGTGTCCCCGCGGCCCAGTCCTCGACCAGGCCTCCACCCCCAGGAAGCAGCCCGTGACAGCTGACTAACACCCAGGTACCTATTTTACTGCTAGGTAACAGGAGCATAGGGTGAAAGAAACTCTGCCCATTGTTTCTCGCCGGCGCCTGGGATCGAACCCAGGACCACAGGATCACAAGTCCAGCGTGCTGTCCGCTCGGCCGACCGGCTCCCTCGCTCGGCCGACCGGCTCCCTTTAGGGAGCTTTACACAGGAGCTTTACACAGAAAACCAGCGTTGAATGTAATGAAACGCCATTTTCTGGGGCGAGTCCCAGAGGCTCTCCGGCATCCTTCCCTCTGGTTGTCATGGTTTTTTCACATTTTTGACATATAGCCTCTGAACCGAGGTTGGGTATCCGGCACGAAAGGTCTGGGAGCCCCCCCCCCCCTCCTAAAGAGGGGGAAGTTGCGCAGACAGTGGCACGGCGGCTGTGGTGACATCATGCTTGATTACTTGTTTTCTGATTGGGGAGTTCTGCTTACTCATTCGATTGTCGGTTAACAATTTTTCACCATCTGTAATTTATTTTGGGATGCCTGACCTGGTAGATAGCAGATAAAGACTGCTTCCCTGCCTATAGACACGGGGGTGTCTATAGGCCATTGCTCCTCGTGCCTCTCTTGAGGGGGACCAGGTTCTCGCGCTGGTCCCCGGTAAGCTTAGAACTCCAGCGATTGACTGTTGCCATGGTCTAATATATACACATCATTCCGGTATAGCTCCGGGAAGCCTCCGGGTCTCACCCAGAAAATGGCATTTCATTACATTCAACCCTGGTTATTTTTTATTTTTTTTATTTTTTAGAATCAAAATAATGCATAACATTGGGTTAGTATTTGTACGCATGGGTCAGTACTCTGAAGCCTGTACAAGCTTTGAATATATCATGCAAGAAGAAGCCAATTTCAAGACAGGTTTGGATTTGGTTACTGCCTACTATGCTCTTGGGGATAAGGAGAGAATGAAAAAAGGATTCCTGCGTTTACTAGAATGTCAACTGGATATTGATGATGATGAAAAATACACAGCCACATCAGTAAGTTCAATTTATTTTTTGTAATATTCATTCCATTCTGTAGCGATTATAATTTCTTATGGCACTTTTCTGTATAAATTTGCAAGTACAGGTACTTTTAAATTAACAACATTACATATTTACATTATTTCACTTTTTATTAGTTTTTACTTTATAAAAACTAAGGAGAGCTTTGTTTGTGGGCAAAGCATATGGCATGGTATTGATTAAAAGATGAAATATTGTATAGCATTGTTTTGATCCTGGTTATTTGTAGGCTGCACAAGTCCATGGGCCTAGAAATGCATGTCTATCACAGGAAAACTACTGAGGGCCATCCAGTGAGAGATTATGCATTATGTCCAATGCTATATTTTTGTGGTGTCTTTTTATTAATAATTCTGTAATAAGTCTGACAACAGATATCATAAAAATTAGATTGGCTGTGCACTAAAACAAAAATTCCTCATAAAAATAAATGTGTGGAGCTAGATCCAAGCAATTTGTACACTAAGATGGCATAACAACAACATACACTGTTGGTTGTAGGACGAACATTTTTGGCTGAAGGAGCTTGTCCCAAACATACCAGTGCTCTCCTACATTTGTCATAAGTGTATATAATTTTGAGACAAGGTTTGTATTGCACTTATTTTACCTGATGTATTTTGTATTTCCATTTTTAGGAGGATACTCAAGCTAATCTTATACTAGAAGTAATTCGCAATGATCCTCTTCGAAAGATGGAGCGCCAGATGAAGCAAGAGGCGGAGCGCTCCATTCTCACTGCTGCCAAGCTTATTTCCCCAGTTATTGAGAATAATTTTAGTGATGGGTACAATTGGTAAGGTGACATTCTATTTCCAGTATTTGTAGACTTTGAAACAATAAATTTACAGTTTGAGGTACAGCATAGTGATTTACTGTTGAGATCAGTCTTGTGTAGGTTATAAATTTTCAATACAGTACTGTATGTTATTTAAGACATCATGTGTAGTCTTTCATTGATTCCCCCCAAAATAAATTTTGCATATCTGTACAATATTTTGTTATTTAGACATATATTCAATTTTCTTAGCAAGCCTTAATGAGTAGTGTGGGGAACATTTTTGGGTTTATATAATTACAAATTCTTGGAAAATAATTTTAGCGGATTCAATGAAGTGTTCAAGTGTTCGTGTGTTCCAATTGGCTTCATCAGTTATAAAATATTCTCTCAAAACTCACTCATGTTTCAATATAGTAAAAAAAAAATTATATAGAATATAAAATTTCTTTAGGCATTGAAGAGGAAATTAAACATAGGTGGAGAGATTACTTTACTTTAAAAGTACAATGGGAACAATTAGTGAGAGTTGTTTGTGAACATGATTGGATTTCATATGATATGATATGAGTGCAAGATAATGTGGTCTGTTGTATCTATAGAAGAGGTGAGTGCATCATGGAGGGAGCTGCAATGTGGGAAATTTGCAAGTATGAATGAGGTCTATATACAGATTTTGTTTATATGTAATGGAGTGAAAGGAATGAAGTGGGTGTAGAAAATTTTCCAGATGGCGTGGGATAGTGGCACTGTGAAGGACCTTTGCAGGACTGCAAAGTTAAAAGCATCATTGTTATATTACCCATTGTTACTTTCTTGCAAGTGTTATGAATAGAAACAGTAAATAAATAAATAAAATGTTTACTGGACACAATATATGTATGGCAAGATAATCATTAGAGTACTGTACAACAAATTGCTGTGAAATGTATCAGTGATGAGCAAGATGGCTTCCATGATGGGAGAGGCTGTGTAGACTAGATATTTAAAATTAAGACAGCTAATAGTGAAGGATGTGAACAAGATTGTAATAAGTACATGGAATTTTTGGACTTTACAAAATATGTAAAAATGATATTATAGAGGGACTATGGAGAATGATTAACATGTGTAGAGGTTGCAGAGTTGGGTTCACTGTTGACACAAATTTCTGTGTAATAGTTAATAATGAAATGAGTGCATGGGGGTTGTTATTATTGAGGGTTTTTTCCATACTTGTGTACTGTTACCCGAGTTGATGAACATACAGTACAGTGGCACCTCGATTAACGAGCGGCTTTATCTATGAGCATTTCAAGTAACAAGCAAGCCACTCGCAGAACATTTGTCTCTACTAACAAACTTTTCCTCGATTAACGAGCGTTTCCACTGGTTCTCGGACACTTTTCCGACAGTTTTGTTGTCGTTTCGCAAGACAAGTTTTCCACATGACGAGTTTTCCACATGACGAGCTCGGTGCCGGAACGAATTAAACTTGTTAATCAAGGTAACACTGTATATATATGTATGGACCCATGAATAAGACCAAGAAAGAATATTGGGAAGAGGTGTAAAGGCCTAATATGAGTAATTGGAGTACAATGGAACCTTGATTTGGCGATCCTCACTTCAGTAAATCTCTTGTTGCAATTCACGTTTTGCAGGCCGAATTTACTCACTGGCTCGACAGAGCCGGAGTAAATCAGGTGCTCAGTGGAGCAAACGGTGCACTGATTTATTCAGGATGTACAGCCAGAGATCGCCAACCAATCATCTCCAAAGTTTAAAAAATAATTTCTAAGGTGTTTTTATAGCTTATTATTAATGCAATATTAATGACAAAAATCTATAACCAAAACTGTATAATATGATGTACCAAGCAACCCTCACTTAATGAATTAGATGGTTTAGCTTGGTAAAAAATCTGCCATTTTTAATTTGTGGTGTAAATAAGCCCACTTTCCCTTACTGCCGATTTCACCCCAGGACCCTTACAGTCTGTCAGTTCAAGGTCCGAGTGCTAGCCCTTCATAATCTACACATAAGACTACTCATTTAATTTATAAACAGGCAATAATAAAATATGGAAATTATTAATAATGTATTGCAATTTACATAACATGTATGAAAAACAACATATCTTGGCATTATTACTCTATTACAGAGTATGAAATGCCAGTGAGGACACAGTTAGTGGACATAGCCACATGGCCAGCATGTGTCATGTGGCTCTTACTCAACTGGATCATTGTCTCCTTTACACTTTCTTCCCATCACCATCTGTTTCCTGCCTGCTCACAATGACTTCCCACCCACATTATTATTAAAGTGAACCAGCCTGAAGTCTACCCTTGGGCCCATGATTCTCGCAGCTTTGGTTCACAGCTTCGGCTGCTGTTTTCTCTAATATATCTTTGGCTGATGTTTGGACTTGAGGGTTTTTGTATCTGGTCAGTGTTCTCAATCCCAGTCAGGCTTGTGTTTCCCTGGGCTGTGTTTCTGGCCCGGAGTTTCTTCTACAGTTTTGTAGTTGCCATCTTGCCTCCTCCCTGCTAAGTCCTCTGTTTTTCTTCTTCTTTATGGTTAGATAGCTTTAAGGAGCCACCAAGGGGGGCTCCCTGAGAACACCAGCATTGAATGTAATGAAATTCCCAGTGGCTCCCTCCTCCCTACTAGGTTCATCAGGCCGTGGTTTATCACCGAACTGATCTAAAGCCAGCTAGTGACTTTGAGCTCCTGGACATCACCTGCTGGCAGCCATTTCACTAGGGAGTTTGAGCTAGTTTTGAGTGAATTGTTTGCAGAGTCATTTGGCAGTTTCCTCTTCTGTGAACTTTGCGGTTGTCTGTATTGCTTCACTTTCTTTCTGGATACTTCTTTGGTGTGGGTGATTGTAATACTCCCCAGATCTCTACGCTTCTATGAGGGGGCCAGGTTCTTGTTCTGGTTCCCGATAGGTAAACAGGACTCCTATGACTGATGTGAATCGGTAGTGGAGAAGCTGTCTCAGCTATGTAGCTTCAGGGAGCTGCGGGGGCTGTATGAGAAAGAGGCATTTCATTACATTCAATTACATTTTTCCTGTGGCTGACTCCTCCCTATCCTGTCAAAGTGGGAAACAGTAATGATAACGAGTGAATAGTTTACTCTCACTCTTCATTTGCTACTTATTCACATACTATCTTATATTGCAATTTTACACTACTTTATTCTAGGTGTGTTGATGCAATAAAAAACTCTCAGTATGCTGACCTGGCAAATGACCTTGAGATCAACAAGGCTGTTATGTATCTAAGGCAGAAGAATTTCAAGGATGCCGTAGAGACACTCAAGATGTTTGAGAAGAAAGAGACCAAAGTAGCCAGCACAGCAGCTACTAATCTGTCCTTCTTATACTTCCTGGTTAGTACTGTCTGCTATCTAGAGGTTATCGTGAAATGATTTCGGGGCTTAGCATCCCCGCGGCCCGGTCCTTGACCAGGCCTTCTTTTTGTTACACACCCCCAGAATGCAGCCCGTAGCAGCTGTCTAACTCCCAGGTATCTATTTACTGCTAGGTAACAGGGGCATCAGGGTGAAAGAAACGTTTTGCCCATATGTCTCTGCCTCCACCGGGGATCGAACCTGGAACCTCAGGACTACGAATCCAAAGCGCTGTCCACCCAGCTGTCAGGTGCCCTCCAGCTGTCTAACTTATTTTTTATGTATGATATAACTTGTATTACATTACCGAAGAATATAATTTCTTATGAACTGAAAAGGTTGCTAATACTGTACAGTACTATATTTGTGTGGAGAGCCCCTTCGGCTCCCCAGAGCTATACCGGTCTGATGTGTGTATATTAGACCATGGCAACAGTCAACTGATGGAGTTCTAGGCCTACCGGGGACCAGCAGCAGAACCTGGTCCCCTCAGCGAGGCACGAGGAGCAATGGCCTATACAGTAGACACTCCCCCGCATGTAGTTGGAAGCAGGCTATATCTGCCATCTACCAGGTCAGGCACCCAAAAGGGTAGGAATCCCAAAACAAATTACAGCTGAGGAAAAATTGCTAACCGAAAGAAAAATGAGCAAACAGAACTCCCCAATCAGAAAACAAGAAAACAAGCATGACGTCACCACAGCCGCTGCGTCGCTGTTTGCGCAGCAGGGCTCTCCCTTTCCCCCTCCCCTGGAGGGAGAAGGTAGAGCCCCAGATCTCCCACACCACCTACCCAATCCCAGTTCTGAGGCTGTTGTGTTGGGTGACAGTCGATCGACTCTGGTTCCAATGCTTGAGCATTGCTGTGCTTTGTGGTGGTGTGCTGCGGTGTGGTTGTGTGTGAGCCAGGTGTAATTCCAGAAGTACTGGAGCTGCATGCACCTAGGGTCACCTTCCCTAGGTCCTCTGTAAGTACTGCCCTTGCAGTTTGGGGTTACCTTCCACAAACTGCTTGGGGACTGCCTCCACAGAGTTCTTTTGCTGCTTGGTGATTGTCCACCCTTGGGGTCAGCTGGGGTGTTTCGTATCATTGTTTGGCCTTGGATAGGAGGTAGTATCGTTGTAGGCAAGGGTGCAAGGTACTGTGTGTAGCTGTCTTATAATACACATAGCAGCTGGTTCTGTTCCTCCTGGAGATGATGTTCTTTTGAGGGGTGTTCAGAAGACCCAGGATGCTGAAGGTGAATCAGACACATTGATATAGGAGCACCCACAGGAAAGAAGTTGACAGGTGGAAAGACGATCCAAGATCAAATAGTGCTGCTAGGGCAGAGGAGAAAGGTAAAGGTTGGTGCAGTCTGATTCAGTTTTAAAAACCCTTTGACCTGTATCTCTGGACAGAACATTACTGAAAAAAGGCTGTGGTTACGGCATTCTTGCTGAAAAGAGAATAGGGTTAAAAATGAGGCTAACGTCATGTTCCTATTATCCTCAGCAGCTGCGAGGGGTGGATCATGGAATAAGAGGCCAAGGTGTAAGATGTTCAATCAGAGCATCAAAACATGCCAAGAGCACAGAGAAATGGCCACAAGGCAGCAACAAGGCATGCGGTGTCAGGCATGGGATTACGAACAAATCCAGATCTAGAATGATAGATCTTGGCAAAAAGCAGACAATTCATTATGTATACATTAGAAAGGAGAGCACCAACTACAGGTGAAACAAGCATTTGTAGGGACCAAATTCACCAGATGCAAGTGGAGCTATGCCAACAATGCAAAACATAAAGCTACTTCGCACAATAACCCATAGTGAGAACCACCAGGAACAAAGTCTTCAGTGACTACTACTTTGAATGAAGAGGGAATCTGAAACCAAGTCTTAGACAATATTCCAGGACCACATGGGTATGCCTAGAGAATATTTAGGGAACTAAAATGAGCCAGAAGGGGACAGCAATAAGTGTTAATAAGTGTGTCCAGCTCTGGATCAGATTGATCAGAACATGCCCATAAGCATCCTTGATTTCCAGAAAAATGAGGCAAGACTAAAATAAAACCACAGACAGATGATCACTCTAAAAGGACAAAGCATGTGAGCATTGACTCCTCATTGGGGATTCATTGGGACTTAAGAATATAATTTCTTTGTTATAACTATTATTATTGTTTATAATGAACAATGTAAAACTTTTTAGGCATTAATAGCTTGTAGGCGATGAGTTACAATAATGTGGCTGAAGTAGTTTGACCAAACATTAATAGCTTATTTGCTTAATTCTTCCATGATCTTGCTATTTTCCTGTTATGATTCCTTTGAACCAACAGTATAACATTATTTAATACCATTTAAATGTCTTTTCACAGCAAAATGAGATTGACTTGGCTGATAAATATGCTCTCATGGCAAGAGATTCAAATGGGTATAATGATGCTGCTTTAGTCAATTTGGGAAACTGCTGCTACAAACGAGAAGACTTTGAGAAAGCACGTGAACATTATATTGCAGCTCTTGACATAGATGCCTCCTGTGTAGAAGCTCTGTATAACCTTGGTAAGTGTAAGTTGACATTTATAAAATGTGAATAACTGATCCTCTAATGTGAATAACCGAATAACCGTTATTCACAGAAATTTCTGTGAATAACTTCACAGAAATTTTGAGAAAATACCGACAGTATAATAACGAACTAATTATATTTACTTAAACGCTGGTACTGTCAAGTCTAAGCAAATCATGTTGGGCATCTTAGACCTGCAAGGCCTACTGGAATCCTTGACCAGAATTTGACTCATCATGTGACTAGGCGCGCATGGTGAGAATCAAGAACATGGGTCTGCAGGGAAGACTTTTCTAGCCATAGTTAATCATAACAATATTTTCAACTTGCATTGTGTGTATTCATATTCTATTTTCATCACCAATAACACTGTAAGAAAATATTTTATCTTTGTATTATTAACATAATCATACAAGGATTTGAGTAACTATTGGTAAATGTATATCTGTTGTTTTTGGTAATTTTTCATTATAAAATAAGTATATTTCCGTCTTCAGTCACTATGTGTGTAATTTTGATTCATTTTTCATACAAATAATCTGTAGGAAAATATTTCAGCTGCATTATTATTAACATAATTATACAAAGATTTGTGGAGCATTTATTGTATTTCTAACTTCAGTTATGTGTAATTATGTTCTACTCTCATTACTAATAATACTGTAGGAAAATATTTTAATTATCAGTTTTATTTTTGTAATTGTAGGTTAGTTTGGTTAATTTTGGAAAGTTACAATATGTTAATTTTGGTTTTGGTCATACCGTATTACTTATTTTTCAGGGCTGACAAATAAGAAACTGAATCGTTATGAGGAAGCTTTAGATTCACTATTGAAGATGCATGCAATTGTTCGAAACTATCCACCAGTTGTGTATCAGATTGCTCACTTGTACCAGCTCCTGCATGATAATGACCAAGCATCAGAATGGTAAGCTGGGTGTGGTTTGTAGTTATAATCGGGAGAATAACAAATACTGTTAAGCAGTTTTTCTTGATTTTGAAATTACTCAACATAGGATAGGTTCCAGACTTACATAAAGAAAATTTGTGTTTATCCAATAGTTGGAATCATAAGAAAGCTTAACTTTTGTAAATAATTACCTTGAATAATTTTCTTTTTAAAGGTACTTACAGCTGCTAGGTATTGTGCCAACTGATCCCCATATTCATCAGCGTTTAGGGCAAATATTTGACTCGGAGGGAGATAAACAGCAGGCATATCAGTATTACTTTGATGTAAGTATATTCTTGCTACACTCAAAGATTTGTTTGGGTAGGCCTCCTCATCAGCTCCCTGGATCAATTCCATCAGATTGTACCAGGCCACCGAAACTGAAGCAGTCCCCACCAGTAACAAAGACTAGACTCTGGTTTACTCAAGTCAAGAAAAGAATGGGGATCAGAGTTCAACCTGAAAACCTAGGAAAATTAGCCAGAAAGTCTAGACGAAACAAAACAAAAACCATAGCTTGGCACTAACTTCTAGCTACCGGGTTGGTGAGCTTCATGCTTGGTTTGTTTGGCTGAGGGTGCATCGTACACTCTGCCTTGTGTTTGGAGTACAGTGCTGTGTGAATGCTACTCTTGCTTTTCGTGTCGAAGCCTTGCTTGTTAACCTGGTGTTTCATGTTTCTTGCTCAAGTTATTCTGAATGGTTGACCAGACCACACACTAGAAATTGAAGGGACGACGACGTTTCGGTCCGTCCTGGACCATTCTCAAGTCGATCGACTTGAGAATGGTCCAGGACGGACCGAAACGTCGTCGTCCCTTCAATTTCTAGTGTGTGGTCTGGTCAACATACTTCAGCCACGTTATTGTGACTCATCGCCTGCATATTCTGAATGGGCTTAGGATTGGCCAGCCAGCTCTCTCTTCTCATTCCCATGATTTGTGGAAATTTGCTGCCTTGATGGCCATCTTTACCTGTACAGTATGTCCATGGGAAATATTGTGGCTCAGGACATTTGTTGATCCAACAATGTTGGGTTTTAATTTTGTTGGTGGATGTTCTGGGGCCTTACCTGGTAACTTAGGCTACCATTTGCTGGTGGTCAGGCACATCAAATTTCGTGTTGTTCACTTGCCTTGACTGCCTCAGAAATTTGACACTAGGATCCTATTCATAATCAGATTTAGTTATCTTGAAATTTTTTACCCGATATCTATTACCTAGTTTCATTTCCTAGACTTATAACCCTACCATTGCCAACATTAAACTGTGTAATTTTTTTTTACATCGTGCAGCATGTGTATTTTACTAAAATACACATGTATTTTAAAATACATAATTTTAAACACTAAAATACCCTGTATTTTAGTGTCATCGTCATTTTAATTAATGATGACATTCTCTCCTGTATATATTATTTATATTTATGTAACGTATATTGTGAACAGAAGTCCCCAAAACAAACTCTGGAACACTGCACTTGTGACTGTTCCCCACTCTAAGTTTACACTACGCAAAGCCTTTATTTCATCTGTGAAATTGTTATTTCACAGTTGAAATTCCCTAGATCAATTTGAGGGGTTCATTCAGTTAATATGTTCCTCAACCACCCTTATAAATCTTTTGTGAGAACAATGTAAAAGCTTGAATTAAGTCTAGGTATGCTTTCAGTATTCTAATCTTTACCACTGTCTATTGCTTCAGATATATTTCAAAATTGCAAGAGTAAATTTGTTAAACATGATCATCGTTTTATAAAAGCATTTTGAAAATGGTGTTGAATAGGGACGGGAAACCTGGTGTGGCTGTTGTAGGTCCATCACCTTGTCTCATGAACTTTATCAGTTGTATTTTATTTAAAGTAGAGCACTAATTCAGTGAGTGAATTAGTCCATTGCTTATTACTTTGTGATTCATGCTGTGTGTGTTGAACTGTGGCTTGGCTTTCTACAATAATTTTACTGCAAAAGTTGGATATACAGTATCTCATGTTTCCCGACATAAATGGTTTACCCTTATGAGAGTTTGAGTTGTCTCTAGTTGAACGTCTTGCCTTGATGTGAATGGCTGCAGACCTGGGGCATTGCATTGCATTGTGGTGATTCTCAATTTTTTTCCTGGGGGCCAAATGTGGGCTCACTGAAGCTAGCTGCACTAGGGTACCTCCACACACAAGAGTCACATCAGCTTCACGAGTCTTTATTAGCCAACCAGAAACAAGAGCCAGAACCTGGCTTCCCCTTTCTACCCCCAATAAGAGATACAGGGAGCAGAAAATTGTTACCATCATCCTTCCCATGGAAATATCCAAAAAGTAAGCAAAGCAAGAGACACACCTGCATGGTTTATAGTGAAAAGAAGTAACAAAGCTGCAAACAACTTTGCAAATAAGCCACTCATTAATTTGAACTGCCCTAGTTACAGCTGACCACTTCCAGCTTCCATGTCAACACTCCTTAATCCTTCACCTGAAGTCTACTGGTGTGGACCACTCCTTGAATTGCCACCCTTTCAACAGGAGGGTTTGACTAACTCTTCTTGTAACACAACAATGTGGAATCCGATTACTGATTGGGGTAATTAGTTAACTGCTCTGTGTATAAATGTGGCACCACTGTGAGATTGAGGAGTTATCAAGGTTCATGAATGTTAGGCTAAATTTTCCCCTCAGATCCTTCTCACACCAAGTTTAAGAAAAGGGGCTGCCACAGGATAGGTATGAAGTAATTTTAGAATAGTTTGCCTAATAATGCAACATACCTTTTCCCTCTGAAAAGTGCAGATGGAAAAATCTATCCCTCACACTCTTGGTTGAAAAAAGGCATAATTTAGTTGCTCTTGAATATTGATTTGGAATTGTTCTATTTGCAGGTGCCAAAATCCAGGCACTCTCTTTACATTATTAATAATTCATGAAGAGAGGAACTCTGTTTTTAATTAATTGTACTTTGCACATGACTTGCAAGTCATGGCAGTCAAGCTTTCCTCAAAGATTACTTTCCTCACCTAAATGTTTCAAATCCTTGAAATCCAAAATTTCAATATACAGTACACTGAAAGGGTTAAGTTGGAGCTTTCATAAGTATTAAGTCAGATAATTTGATAAAGTAGTTGGGGGCTTGTTATTTATGCATTTTATTGATATTCATAATGAGATACTGTACTTTAGATATGGTACAGTGCAACTGATTTTTCAACATAGTATAACAAAACATGTTCCTAATTATTTCAGTCATACCGATATTTTCCAAGCAATCTTGAAGTAATTGATTGGTTAGGATCTTACTTCATCGAGCATCAAGTTGCAGAGAAAGCAATCAGCTACTTTGAGCGTGCAGCTCTTATGCAGCCAGATGAGCCAAAATGGCATCTTATGGTTGCTGCATGTCATCGTCGCTCTGGGAACTACCAGCAAGCTTTGCAAACTTACAAACAAATCAACCGCAGATTCCCAGAAAATGTTGAATGTGAGTACTTTTAGTTACTGTACAGTGTCTCTTTTAATAATAATCTCAAGTTCCCCTTTTCTAATTGTCATACAGTTTTATATTAATGTTTCTTTGTATCATTTAATGTCAATATTGATTTTCTGAGGGAAGCCCCATCAGCTATTTGGAGCTATAGGACTAATATTAGCTATATTAGTCTGGGGCTTCAGTCATATGGAGTTGTCATGTCTACCAGGAACCACAAGCCAGAACCTGGTTTCCTCAGAGAGGCAAACAGAGCAATGGCCTATGAAAATTCTAATCTTTGAGAGTATATTCATGTCTACCATCAGCCAGGGTTGGGCACCCAAAAAGGTAGGTGCCCCAAAACAGATACCAACTGGTAGAAAATTGCAACTGAAGACCTAAATAGGCTAAAAACTCCCCCTAAGAAAAACAAGGACAGGAGCAAATCGTCAACAATCTGACTCGCCGCTCGTTCATGGCCCTCCCCCCCTACTCCCCAGAGGAGGGGAAGGCCCCTGCCCTACCAAGCTGGTCGTCTGCTCACCAGTTTGTCGACTGAAGCCGACTGGGGCGGATGTCTACTCTGGTCTCGATTGCCTGTCAGAATTTTGGCCCTAGCAGTGATATCTGCTGTGTGTTGGAGCATTGGCCAGAAATTACAAGTACCCAGGGCTGCATGCGCTTAGAGTTCTCTTCCCTGGGCAATAATTCTTCCTTATCTTCTTATCTTCCTTATTTTCCTAATATTGGTGTGTAAGTACTTCCTTTGGGCTTCAGGGTTATCTTCCCTGGAGCTTTCAGGTCTCGCTTTCATAAGGGTAGCGGTCGCTCGGCTTCTGCCTCGCTCTTGGGGTCAGCTTGGGTCTTGGTACTTTTGTTTGGCCCTGGGTAGGAAGTGTTTGTTGCTGGGTGGGCGCACTGTGCTAGGCAGCTCGCATACAAGCAGCAGCCGTGCCTCTATCTGGCCTCCTGTTGTTGTGGGTGCACTTTCGAGGTTCTTTTCTGAGGGGAGCCCCTGTGGCTGCCTGGAGCTATCTGACTGATATGTGTTATATCAGTCTGGGGCATTAGTCAATTGGAGGTCAGCCTACTGGGGACCACGAGCCAGAACCTAGCGCCCTCAGAGAGGCCAGGGAAGCAATGCCCTACAGAAACCCTCATGTGGTTGGGGGGCATTCCATGTCTGCCATCGATCGGAGTTGGCACCTAGAAGGGTAGGCATAACAAAACAAACCCCACTTGGTAAGAAATTGCAACCGAAAACCAAACAGGGAGGCAGAACTCACCTTACAACACAAGGAAACGTCACACCTCAAGAGTCATGCCGTCTGTCTGCGCAGGTTAACTTCTCCCCAGATTCCCCCTGTGCCTGCTACCCAAGCTTTCTAGTTCATTGGCTGATGTGACCCTGGACAGATGTTGACTCTGGCCTCAGATTTCAGTGCAGTTGTGTAACTTGTTTCTGCTGTTTGTGAGGCACGGTGGCCAGGTGTTCTTTAAATAGTACTGGGGCTGCATGCGCTCAGGGTTCACTTCCCTGGGCGCCCTGTAAGTTCTGGGGTTCTAGGGTTCACTTCCATAGAACGTTTGGGAACCGCTTCCGTAAGGGTCTTTGCCGCTCTGCTCTTACCCCGCCTTTGGGGCCAGCTGGGGTTTTCGTGGCCTTTGTTTGGCCTTGGGTAGGATCATTTGCTGGGGGGCACGAGGTACAGCACAGCTCGTCTATCAACACGGCGGCCAGTTTCTGTTCCTCTGGGGATGTTGTACTTTTCCGGGATTTTTATTTTATTTTTGTTTTCTTTGCCTGGAGGGGGTCTGCCTGGTTTGGCTCTTGGTCCACTTCTGTTGTTTATGTGGCCCTCTAGGCCCTCATAATTGTACACGTCACAGGGGTTCAGCTTTAGCAGATTCCCTTGTTAGTTTGGGCCCAGCCTTGCACCATGCAGTACCTTGCTTGGGCTTCCCATAGCAGTACACCTGCGGGCCCTGGAAAACCCCATTGGGGGCTCATTAGACCTATGGATGCGTCTTCTGGGTTCCATCTCACCACGTGCGAGTTTGAGGGTTGCTGTGTGCCCTTCTCTCAGGGTGAGTCACCATTTTTGCCTCCATCATGCTGCCTGTTGGGTCACTGATACCTTTGATCCTGAAGTCTTGCAAGTTGTGCTCTCTGCTAGTTCTCCAATATACTTATTCTGATATTGCTATTCGGGTATAGGCAGCATCTGTGTTGCATGCTAGGTTTAGGTTGCTGCAATGCGCTACGTTGGTTGCCCTCCCAGATGCCCCATTTTGGTTATAGGGACCTGGACCTGAGGGCATTAGTTGCTTCAACTTTGGTTCAGTCCGTGCTCCCTGGTCCTTCCCCTGTTGTTCACCCTGCTTCCCCTCCACCTGCTTCTGACTCCCAAACATCTGAGGTTTCAGGCGCTGCTTGCTCAGTGCCTGAACCCGGAGGTTTTCACATGGCTCCACCTCTTTAAGCAAATCGGTCCGGTTCATTACGAGACTGATTTGATCTTAAGTCTTCGCGTCTGGTTATTGATGTTGCTTCTGCATTGTTTCGCAAGCTGTCTCAGGCGTTGTTTCACCTCCGGCCTGCTCATGCACTGCCTGATCCAACCTGATCTTTGGACAGGGTGCTCTTGTATTTGTCTTCTCCTTGTTTTGTTGTGGCCCCTTCGGTTCAGGATTGTTTTTCTAAGGTTCTTTTGTTGTTGGCATTGGCCTCTGGGGGTCAGGTCGGGAAGCTTCATGCTCTGCTCTGGTGCAGAGGCTTCTGCTCTTTTGGTCGTGGTGATAGGTTTGTTTGGTTGCAACTATCTCCTTCTTTTCTGGCGAAGAATGAGACTGCTGTTTTCTGGAGTTGCCTTTCAGTTGTAGAGGCTTGGTTGGTCAGGCCGGGGTTGCATCATGTGTTATGTTCGGTTGCGGCACTCCGCCGTTATTTGCGCGCCACGGCTTCGGTGGCCAGGGATGCGATTTGAGTTGATCCGGTTTTCCTTCTTCCCTGTTCCCGGGTTCGGGTCTCTCAGGTTGTCCGCAGGGTTATTCGGTCCAGCCAGCCTGTGGTCTGTCCCAGTGCCCATGACATTCGTAAGTTTGCTGTGCTTGCTGCCATCTTCAGTAATATGTCTTGGGCTGACATTCAGGCACAAGGTTTTTTGGTGGTCGAACAGGGTCCTGGCTGCACACTACCTCGTACGATAAATGTTCCTGGGCCTAAGTCAAGCCTGTTTCACTTTGGGTCGGTAGTTGCAGTCTGTTGTCTCGACATCAAGTTGAGTTGTGAGCACCGACTGCCTCCTGGGTAAGTCCCTCTAGTTTTTGTCTTTAGTGATGTAACTCCGGGGAGCCGAAGGGGTTCCCCCCAGAAAATTAGCGTTGAATGTAATGAAACACCATTTTCTGGGTGAGACCCAGAGGCTCAATGGCAACCCCTTCCCTCCCGCAGTCAGCGTTTTTTCACGTGTTTTGACATCCAGCTTAAGAACTGGTGGTTGGATCGCCGATGCAATGGGTCTGGGGCTTCCCCTTCCCCCTTCCAGGGAGGAGGAGCGGCACAGACGTGCGGAGTGGCTTGTGTGACGTCATGCTCCTTTGCTCGTTTTCAATTGGGGGAATTCTGTCCACTCGTTTATCTATTTTCGTCGTTTTAACCAGAATAGGGGTTTGTTTTGAGACGCTTACCTTTCTGGGTGCCTGGTGCAGTCGATGGCAGACATGGAATGCTCCAAATCATATGTGCATTTCTATAGGCCATTGCTCCTTGTACCTCTCTGAGGAGGCCAGGTTCTGGCTCGTGGTCCCCAGTAAGCATAGAACTCCATCCACACTGATGCCAAAGTCTAATGATATACATATCAGCCTGGATAGCTCTGGGGAGCCTCCAGGTCTCGCCCAGAAAATGACGTTTCATTACATTCAACGCTCTTTTTTTTTTTTAGTGCAGACCCAAAAACTATTTCACTCTCAAAATAGGAAACCTAGATATAACCAAGTTTAATTTTATACTACTCATTACAAAGAACTGAGGCTGGATTTACAAAGTAGCTACATGTTCATTAAAGAGATTTGTACATCTTACCTCTACACAGCAGCTTAGTAAGCATTCACATTCAGTTTAATTTGAAGGTGCTATGAGGTTGTCCACATCCTAAAATTATTTTTGTTATGAACAAGCTTGTAGTGCTTCAGAGCTCATAAACTGTTCAGTACGTGCTGACCAAGCTGTTATGATTGAGAAGAGATGTATAAATCTCGTAAGTGGACACGTGTAGGTTCTTTGTGAACCTGGCCTTGGCTTGCAATTCCATTCCTTTTTATGCACTATATTTGTGAACAAATTTTTTTTTTTTTTTAAACCAGGTCTCAAGCTACTAATTAGGCTAAGCAGTGACTTAGGGCTCAAGGAAGCAACTGAATATGCACAGGAATTGAAAAAGGTAGAAAGAGCACAAGAACAGAGAGAAAGCAGAGCAGCTAGTGGGTCACGCCCCGGGTCCCGAAGGTAGGTACTCCATCCATCAGTTGTCAGTAATATTATAGTAAATGTTGTGTTTGTTGCTGTAGAAGATATGTAGTTATTAGTTAAACTTTGTGTCTTATTTATTAAATTTGTGTCCTACAATTGTATTCTATATTATTCCTTTTTAATTTAAAATTAATAGATTCTCAGTCTGATGAATGATAGCTTAATACTGTATTCTTAGGCTTTTCTTTTATAGTCCTGTAGATATTTGTTATTTGGTTGGTAAATTTGTAAAGTGTGTATGTGCAAGAGTAATTGTAAGATTCTTTTTCATAGGTGCAAGATGTTTTATAACTTTTGTTTGTTTTAATATGAGGAAGTTATGACATAAGATTTATATGTACTGTATAATAATTTGGATAAATTATATGGTACTGTATACTTTGCGTGAAAATTATGTGTGAGATGTACCACATATTGTGAACATTAAAGTCTACCAGAAATATGACTTCACCATAAAATAAAATGGACTTTTCTGATTTAAGATAAAGATAATCAGAGTAGTTAGGGGAGTGATAAGCACAACAGATAAACTTAATAACCGAGTAGATCAGATCTTGAACCATAAAGCATCAAAGATGAGTGACTCAAGATAGGATAGGCGAGTGACAGTGCTACAGTATTTGTTTAGCAGTAGACAGAAATGTTGAAATTGGTGGCACAATATTTACAAAATAATGCATCAGTTAAAACTGCTGTTGGACATGAAGTATGGTATGGGGGGAAAAGGAAGTAAATTGAGAGAAAACAGTTAATTATTTTTTGCAGAGTACCAATTAGAAAAATCCATATAGAGTGAAACCTCAGTACTCAAACTTAATTCCAGAAGGCAGCTGGAAACTTACTCGTAAACTTACTGTTATTGTAAGTGTTTATGTTCGAGTGCCAACAAATGATTGACTACCGAGCATGAGCACAGCATTCAAGTGCCGAATTGTTCAAATAGGGAGCCGTTTGAGTACCGAGGTTCCTCTTTATGTTTATAATTACATTTAAATAAAGAGGCGGAGGTATTGCTGCTACAGTATTACTTACTGTATTGTAATCAGGCGTCACTTGTCCAATGACAGCAGTCACACTGAAACGTGGATATTTTAAACAGATGCTCGGGTGTTGTCCATGAATCCCCATTTGGAGGTATTAAAAAAGAGGAAAATGGACAGTGACTTAATTTAATAATTAATAATTTTTGTCAGGGACAGGAAGCCTGTGTATATATACAATATATACTTCGTATCAAGTTTCTCATCTCCTCCCCAAAGGTTGGTGTCAGCTTTTAAAATGTGGCCAGTTATGTGGCCACCAGAGTGCTGCAAGACCTCTAATGTCATAAACATTGGGCTATTGAGCCCAGCAGTTCAAGCCAGGGCAAGCTTAGAGTTAGGACCTACAATTGATGATTATCCTGTGTTCCTGTAGTAAATCAAGATATATGGCATTGATGTTTGTCTCCAGTCCTTGTTAACCACAGTTACCACCACCACCCACCTCACAAATGAAATCAAGGTGCAAAAAGCATTGAATTACTGATATTTCCCAGGATGCAACCCCACAACAGTTGCCTAACTCCCAGGTACCTATTCACTATCAGATGAACAGATGCATTAGTTGAAAGGAAACGTGCCCAACCATTTTTATGCCAGAAGTTGAACCTGGGATTTCCAGTTGGGAGTCGAGAATGAAGCTGACTGTAATGTGTGCATGTAAAGAAATGTGTGAGAGGGAAATAACCAGCAGTAACAATCCAAATTTATGTAGTGCAGAAGTAAACATTACTGGGGGGGGGGGGGGACCAACACAGCATAGCGTTTCATGATGACTCTTAAAGCTACCTGCAGAACATTTAAACAGCCAGCCAGTGCCATGGGGCAACTTTTAAATATGAATCTTCAGATTTCCTCAAAATTATACAATTTTACTGTACTTTAGCATGTGCAGTGCTTATCTATCAGTGACTGGGGGGAGGAAGATCTAGCTCTTTGTGCCCCTCCTCCTAGCTGTTTATACCTGGCGTGCTCATTACCTCTCTCATTGTGGTCATAGTGTTGCAAATATTTTCACTGTAGGTATTTGTAGCTTATACTATGAGCACCCTTGTCATGCACCCCTCAGATCCTCATCACGGGCTTCTCGTAGTGGGTCGGCTGCCTCAGGGCACGAAGAGTCTGGGTCATTACTTCCCAAGAGCCCAGGCACAAGGTAGGACTACTATATAATACTTGATGCATGTGTGCATGTAGTTCCCTTAAATTATAATTCAATTTTTCAGCCATTAAAAACATGCTTTCCTTCATGCTTCGTTTTATGCTTCTGCAGTTCAAGCACAAAATAAAAACATATATATCATGTGATCCTATGAAATATCCTCCCACAGTGTTAGAACATGAAACACAAACTGTGATATCATAATGACTAATTAGGCTCATAAGCCTTGTTTCATGCTTCTTGAAAAATATCACATGATTTACATAATAGTAGATTAAATAGTGTGGTGTTCATAGGAAGTGGACGCAGAGGGTTATTGTTAGTGGTTGTCTTTATTGATGCTCTTATTGCTAAATACCATACAGTCTACGTGGCCAAATGGGCTAAACAATGGCATGCATATCCTTCTTGTTTTCCTTGATAGCATTAGTAAGTGCTCCATCAAACACAATGGCAAATACGAATGAGTAGCATCGTCTGCTTTGAAAATGAATGATAGGTTCTCTAATTGCCTACAATTTATAATATAATGTTGGTTCAAGTGAGGCACCATCCTTCATTTACTAATGGATCTTTTCTTCCATAACACTTTCATGTTATGATATAATGAGGGTTAGTAGGGTAAATTTGTTCTGGTTTAAACAGACTTAAAGGAATCTGCCAATAAACCTTTAACTCTTGTTGACCATGAAATATTACAGATCCCAAATGAATGACAAATTAAAATAATGCTAGCTGTCATCACTTAACAGAACAGCTTGTCCTTTCAAGTTGCCACAGATATTGGTGTGTGCTAAAACACCCATACCTAACCTAACTGAACTAACCCATGCATAGAAAATATGAATGTTTGTGAGCCACTATGATCTATAATATATAATATTTTGTCCGTAGAACATTTTGATGTCGGAATGTGATGCATTATTTAAGAGGACAGGTTAAATAGAGGCAGGCTTACCATCATGGGTAAAGAAGGGCAGCCTTCCCATGCATGTGACCTCACCACAGAGACCTTACTGTGTCTGATCTCCCCAACTTACTTTGTTCTCAGAGTGGAGTATTGTGGCTTATCCGACTTACTCCACTCATTCTTCATTCAGCCACTAGTTACTCTCATATACAGTATGTATGTGTGTGTGTATATATATAAATATCTCACTCTCTCAAAAGAAACAAAAAGATAACTATAGCACTTTAAATTTAAACATTTATTGTAACAAGTTCTAGTAATTCCAATTTGCATAACCAATCTGCTCGATACTCGCTTCTCCTTTCAGAGCAGGAGAGATTGCTGAAAGAGAGAGAATAGAGAATATAAACAGCACGCATAGACATGATAAAGCGCACAAATTATTGGAACAGTCTCAAAGCTCTCAATATGTACTCTCTAGAAAGGAAATGAGAGAGTTATCAAATAATATATACATGGAAGGACTGGAGGGCCAGATCCCAAATTCGCACAGTAAAACATCATACTGGATGAACGATATAGAAAATAATGCAGAATAAAGCAAGTGAAGAATAGAGATGCCATAGGCACAATCAGAGAAAACTGTGTGAACATCAGAGGTCCATGGTTCTTCAATATCCTCCCAGCAAGTGTAAGAAATGTTGCTGGAACAAAACTGAAAGTCTTCAAGAAAAAAAATGGACAGTTTTCTGCAAGAAGTGCCAGATCAACAGGGCTGTAATTGATATGAGGGCCTGCGGCCACTCAAAGCAATAGCCTGTTTGGACCAAACACTCACAGGTCAAGGCTTGCGCTGAGGCTGGGCTTGGGTAGTAGAAGAATTCCCAGAACCTCATCCAGGTACAGGTACAATCTTGATTCTATACATCAGTCCACTTACCCCTACATCAATGTTTCAGGTTTGACAAACTGAGAATAACCATAGCAATCACACTTGCTAATTTACCTAAACTTAAGTCTGTCACTACTACATTATTAAACGAGTGATAACTGGATCACTCAGAAATGAATGGTTAACCCACATGACCAGGCAAATGCTATTTGAACAGCACATACTAAACTATTACTCAAAAATACTCACCCATTTTAAGAATTTCATTTCATAGATTGGTGAACCTTGGTCTAGGGTACACTAGGCATAAAAGCCAGGAACTGTTGTTCCTAGCTTTTGTCTTCGACGAAAGACTGCTGCAGGTCCAATCGGTTCTGAATGTTGACTGTCCTCCAATGAGTGTTCTCATTGAGTGTTGTTCTCAGAGTGTTCTGCACCGGCTTACTCTGCTTTTCTGTGGGGAGCCTCTTCGACTTCCTGGAGCTATTGGACTGATATTAGCTATATTAGTCTGGGGCTTCAGTCAGTGGAGTTCTGCCTACAGGGGTACCATGAGCCAGAACCTTGCCTCCCCTCAGAGAGGCGTAGGGAGCAATGGCCTGAGGAAACTTCCCTGTATTTGGGAGTATTCCGTGTCTTCCATCGACCGGGGTTAAGCACCCAGAAAGATAGGCATCCCAAAACAAACCCCACTTGGTAGGAAATTGCAAACCCAAAACTGAACAGAGAAACAGAACTCCCCCAAAAGAAAACAAGGAAACAAGCAAATGTCATTAACTACCGCCGGGGAGGGGGGAGCCCCCAGACCCCCCAGCACCGGCTACCCATTCTCTAGTTCATAGACTGAAGCTGTCTGGGGCAGTTGTTGACTCTAGCCTCTGTTTCCTGTCAGGATTTGTACCGTTGTGGTGTTACCTGGTGCTTGTGGTGCAGTGGCCAGGAGAAATTAGTGTACTGGGGCTGCATGCGCTTAGGGCTACCTTCCCTAAGCCTTCCCTACTTAAGTACTACCCTTGCATTCTAGGGCTATCTTCCCTAAGTGCCGTACTGTAAGAACTACCCTTGCGTTCTAGGGCTATCTTCCCTGAGGCCTTCGGGACCTCACTCCCTTAGGGGTCACTGCTGCTTGGCGTTGACCCCACCCTTTGGGGCCAGCTGGGGTTTTGTGGCCTTTGTTTAGCTCTGGGTAGGGAGTGTTGTTGTTGCTGGTTGGGGTGCACGGTGCTGGGCAGCTCGCCTCCCTAGCGGCGGCTGTGTTCTCTGTTGTTGTTGTGCTTTTGCAGGGGTTTCTTTTCTTTTTTGTTTTTGTGACGGATCCGGCTTACTTGGGCTCGCAGTAGACGTTTTAATGAAGGACTGGCTGAGGTGGGGAACTTGTCCCTCTTCCACCCGGTCCAGCAGTTGCTCCGGGTTCTGGCTCGGCTGGATTCATATCGGGGGTGAGTGGTTCTCCTGGCTCCATGGTGGCTGGCCCAGCCTTGGTTTCAGGTGATACTTGCTCGGTGTCCAAACCTGGGCGTTTTTTTTCCACAGCTCCGCCTCTTTCAGCAGGTTGGGCCAGTGAGGTACTTCACTGGTTCACCTTACTGCTCTGCACTGTGTCTGGTCTTTTTAACACGTGTATCGCCATTTATATGGTGATCAGGTGGCTCCTTTGATGGTGTCCCACCTGCGGTCTTCTTCCCAACGATAGTATGAAGTTTCTTGGCAGTCTTCCTGTCATTTTCTTTCTCTTCAAAGGTTTTAGTCGATTTTGAACCAGGTTGTTTTGTCCCTTCTCTCTTGGCTTTTTCTGGATCAGCATCTCGTGCCTAATACTGTCGCTTCTTATCGTGCAGCGGTGGCAGAGCAGCTTCAGCTTGCATTCGGGGTGGATGTTGTTTCTGCTCCATTCCACAAGTTTTCATAGCATTTGTCACCTCCGGCCTGCTCATGCGCCACCTGAGCCTTCTTGATCTTTAGATCATGTTCTTTCTTTTCTTTTCCTCGCTTTCTTGTGGCCCCTTCAGTTAGGGATTGCTTTTGGATGGCCTTGTTTTATCCTTGGCCTCTGGGTGTTGGATTGGGAAGCTTCATGCTCTCCTCCGACCCTGAGGGTTCTGTTCGTTTGGTCCAAGTGGCCGTTTTGTTCGTTTACAGCCTTCCTCTTTTCTGGCGAAGAATGAGACGGCGAGCTTCCAGAGGGGCCCGTTGTTTGTGGATGCTTGGTTGTTCAGGCCGGGGTTGCATCACATGTTGTGTCTGGTGGCGGCTTTATGCCTCTTTCTGCGGGCCACTGGTTCTGTGATGGTGGATGCTCTTTGAGTGGATCCGGTTTCCCTGGTTCCCTATTCCATGGCTTCTTAGGTTGTCTGCAGTGTTGTCAAGTTCAGCCAACCTGTGGTCTACCCTCATGCGCATGACGTTTGGAAGTACTGTATGCTGCTCTCTGGTTTTTGGCAACATGTCTTGTGTAGACATTCGGGCGCAGGGATTGGAGATCGAACAGGGTCTTGGCTGCCAGATATTTAGTGAACATTCGGGTTCCTTACCGGCGTGTTTGACTTTGGGGCACCTGTCGGGTCTGACTGTCTCTTCTTCATCTTGAGACCCAGTATCCACTCAATTTAACGGCCTATATGGGGCTGTACCCTTGTCGTTATTTCCGGAGCTCCGGTATTTCCGAAGTTAAGTGTCGGTAATTTTTCAAGCAACGTTCAGTTAAGATATATTTTATACAGACAGCCACTGGGTCCACCACTCTAGTGCCTTCTACCCTGTGACGTCACAGATTCACGGCACATTGTTTTGATTTGTCATGAGGCTGGAGTATTCATTCCGTTACTTTGTTAGACATATCGGCACAATCAAGGAACATCCATGCACCATGTCGGCTCCAAATGCACTCGTTGTGTCAGTGATGGCTGACTGGTGGGTGGATGGGCAGGCAGGCAGGGATGGAGAGGCTGAAATGTAGGCAGGCAGGGAGAGGCTGGGAGGTAGGCAGGGAGGGAGAGGCAAGGAGGAAGGCAGATGCTGGGTGGTAAGCGGGGAGGGACAGGCAAGGAGGGAGGGAGGCAGGCAGGCAGAGCTTGGGAGGGAGGCAGGTAGGCAGAGCTTGGGAGGGAGGCAGGCAGGCAGAGCTTGGGAGGGAGGCAGGCAGGTAGAGCTTGGGAGGGAGGCAGGCAGGCAGGAAGAGGCTGGGTGGTAGGC